ATATAGTGGCATCTTATTGTCCCAGAACATTTTTTCACCCTGGAAACTTTCAGTGGCCTTCTAAAGGCATCACTTACTTAGGGATCACTTTCCCTCCTGATCTTAGCTCCTTCGTTCAGGCAAACTTTGAACCCTGTCTTAATAGGTTCAAAGCAGATATTGAAAGATGGATCCCCCTTTAAATTCTTAGGGGGAAACCGCCGCCCCAGAATTAACCTAAAGAAGCTGCAGAGACCAGTGGATAGAGGAGGCAGTGGCTTTCCAAATCTGCTACTATATCACTACGCCTTCAGCCTTAGGCATCTGGCCCATTGGTCACTTCCACCAGAGAGGGCTCCACCTTGGTTTTCGATGGAGAGTTCCCTTATTGGCACTTTGCCCCCTCTGCTGTTGATTTATGCCCATCTATCCCCAGAGGTTAAAAATCATCCCATAATTGCTCATCTGCAAAAAATATGGAAAAAAAGTGTCTGCATCCTATAAGTCGGACCCTCACTTATTTCCCTCAGCATGGCTATGGCTCAACCCAAAACTTGTAATAGGTAAAAAAACATTTTACTGGAAAATATGGGCTGAGAAAGGTATCATGACTTTAGGTGACATGTATGATGGATTTGTACTTAAATCTTTTACTTCTCTGAAGGAACAATATGGCATATCTCAGAATCAATTCTGGCAGTATCTCCAAATAAGAAATTTACTCAACCAGGCTGTTCCGGACCCTCGGGTGACTCTCTCAAAACCTGATATTCTTAAGGAGATACTTTATGCCTTTGGTAAGGGTAAGGAAGCCTCGAAATACTACTCTGCTTTGCTGGACAGGTCAGGAGATCACACATGGAGCCTCAGGCAGACATGGGAGACTGACCTTAATAAGTTATTTAGTGATGATGAATGGAGTTCTATTCTTCAAAATCCCCAAAAATCATCTCGGGAGATTAAGACCAGGTTAATACAATTTAAAATTCTAAATAGAGTTTATTGGACCCCTGCAAAATTACATAAGGCAGGGTTAAAAGATGACCCAGCGTGCTGGAGATGTGGTGAGACCCCGGGCACACTAACCCATGTGATATGGGCCTGCCCCAAAGCTCAGAGATGGTGGACAGCAATCCATGAGAACATTAAATTGGTCGTGGGGCAGGACATTCCATTCATACCTAGCCTATACATACTGGGGGACTCAACACCTTTAAGCGGGATCCCTCGATCTCAGGGAGGGTGGATCCATACAGCCATCATGCTGGGCCGGAAGCTCCTAGTTAGAGAATGGAAGGCGGCAGATCTCCCTCCGTCCAGCCTTTGGTTCACTCAATTAAGTATAGTTGCAGCCTTTGAAGAATTAACATATAGGATGGTAGACCGATTAGACTTATTCAATGCTAAATGGGGAAAATATATCAATGTTGTCACAGTATCTTAACTCCTCTGCTAAACAGTAGTCATCACTTCTCTCTTTTGACTGGAAATTATTAGCAGCGTGCCGCTGACTCACCAAGCCTAACAGGCTTGACACATCTTGGTTTGGTGATGTAGGCTGACAGCCCCCTGCAAATCTTATGGAAACACAATTTTCTGTAAAAGGTGGACAACTTAACACTTCCATGCAGCATTTTTTTTTTTTTTTTTTTTTTTATTTCTTATTTACATATATTTTATTCGTCCTGCTTTATTCCTGCATTTCATTTAAGTTAATTATAATTTTTGTTTGTCAGGTCTGTTTTTTTTGTCTTGCATTGATAGTGTTACCCTTGTTGGGTATTGTTCTATATCATTTGTTGTCTGGTATTGTACTGTTGTAAAAAATTTGAAAAACAATAAAAATGTTGGTCATAAAAAAAAAATCAAGGAACAATCTCAACATCGATATCCTCAATAACAGTATGAATAACACTGGGCTATGACCAAAGGGAATCAATAATCATATCTTTAGTCTTAGACACATTAAACTGTAGGTAGAAATATTTGCAGATGCTTTAGTCAGCCAATACATAACCACGCTCAAACTCATCATTATTTATAAGACTCACAATGACTGTATCATCAGCAAATTTCACTAAATGCCTATTATTATTATTATTATTATTATTATAATAATAATAATAATAATGATTATAATAATTAGCCCCACAGTCCTTTGTTTACACAATAAAAAGTATTGAATAAAGAACCATGAATAGGTATTTTGTTACCTTTCATCTTTTCCCCTCTTCACTTATTTCACTTCCTTTTGTTCAATCAATTACTCCTTCCCCCAGCATTTATTTCTGTCACTCTTCATTTGTTGGATTGAATTCACTTGTTTACTCCTCATTTAAAGACTACTCTCATTTTTACCTTCACATGGAGCGGCAGCTCAGCAGTGTAAGGTGTGTTTTTCTCCTATTTTTAGTCTTAATTTACCCTGCATTTAGCAACACTGCCTTAACAGAAAGTATGTCTTATTTGTCTTAATTGTTTGTTGTTCTAATATGTATTACTTTGTCTTTCAGATATTTAACACATCCCATGTGGGTTTTTTTTCTATACACTCCTCCCCCAACCCTTATTAAACTTATGTGAACTGAAGAAATAAACCTTTGTTAAACACGAGTAAAGTTTCCTGGCTAGATTCATGCAGCTCTGTACGGAAAGCCCCCAATGTAAAGACATTTCAAAAGATTGTAAAAAGGAAAATTGACGTGTGCTATTTTTAAATGTAATTGATTTTACAAAACTCTTTAAAGCTTTTGTTCTTATTCTTCTGTTTGCATTTATTAATTTTTAATTAATGAAGAGAAAGAAAACTAGGTTAAAATTAATTATCACAATTTACTTGAACAACTTTGTGCATGACTCTTACAAAAGAACTCATCATCTTGGGTCAAACGTAACTGAATGTCCTATGAACAAATGCCAGCAAATGCCAAATTAGAGTAAAGAATAATGGACATGTTGTTCAAAACCAAAATATTTCCAAGTATTTCATCATCTGAGGAAAATATGTTGTTACTTAATCTTTTTTTATGTTTTCGTCATATCAGTTCATCCTCAAGTCCAAGTGGACTTGACACTTTAACCAAATTACATGAAACAGAAAACAAAATGTATTCAAGACTATCCCAAGTATAGAGGCATAACAATATACCTTTATAATCACAGAACAAGTGCAGTCAACCTTTTTGGGGTAAGACAAGGAGAAATAGCTTTGCTTTGGGTAAAAACACATCCAGTGGACTCTGTAAGTCATAAAAACAAAGATATGGTGTTGAATATCCCTTCGAAACAAAGTGTCAAAATTCTTCCAACTTCAATGTAGAAACGATTGTTTTTGTTTCCTGACATAAGTATGGATCTATATGGATGCAAGAATATTTTCATGAACTGAAAATTGAACTCTTCTATCTTTTCTTTTATTTCATTAGTTTCGTTTGATTATTTTTCTGTTTTAAGTACGTTATAAGTATGGAAAAAGCATGTTGTAGGTTACGTAAAATTGTGCCTCTATGTGAACTGCATACATTTTGTAAGCATGGTTGAATAAAAGTGTGATGTTTGATTGTTCACAACATTATAATTGATTCTATTATGCCTATTTATGAAGACTTTATAAGAAGACCATTTTCCCCCTGGAAACGCAGTTAAACAATGACAAGATGATTACAAAACTGCATCAGTATGCCTAAAACAAGCTAACTTCATGCTAAATAAACATCTTATTATTCCAGTGCAAGTACTATCTATTTTTTCTCCTTTACAAAATATCTGAATGATTAACATCTTAAATGTTAATCTAAAAATAAATTTTATTTCTACCATCAAACTTTTGTATGGCCACATGTTTTCACAGTTTCAACAGCTATTATTGTATTTCAATCTCCAACAGAAGCAATTCAGTTTGACTTAACATAAAAAATTTAGTTATCAATTAAGGGCTAAGTTGGTACAATCCTTCAGTTTCTATGTATTTCATCCATCTAGCAGCATCAAAATATTGAATAAGCTCCAAATATGCAGAGTACCTTTTACTCAGTTTTTAAAAAAAGCATGTTACTATCTTTGTCTCTATCTCCATGGGGTTAAATGTCAACAACTACAGTATAACAAGAAAAGAAGCATCAGGGGTCATTAGCAAAACAGAAGACACCATTCAGTGAACTCTGCACACTGATCTGATGTGTAAGTGAAACACTCATGATCATCAGCAGCTTAAAAGCTGTGACACATTCTTGATTTTGAGTCAAAGCGGACCGTCTTGCAACCTGTTTGGTAACAGTGACATAATATAACAAATAATGCTGAGTCAGCTTGTTATCATGCAGCTGATCGAGAGTCTGAGTGGAGACGTTTCACTTATTAACATTCCAATAAAATACAATCTATAACGTAAATATGTGCTCACCTTTTTTAAACTAGGAATTCAGATTGATTTTTAAACCTCTTTATTAAGTGAGACAAGAAAGGGTGAAGAAAGGGTCATGCATGACAAAAACACAGGCTACATGCATAATATTGTGATATAGAATGGAGCAATATTTAATCATGTGTTAGTAAATAAAAAGATCTCAAAACTCTCCCATCACTATTGACAATGAATAAAAAATGTCTAAATTAAAACTATATATAGGTGTGCTGCTTTGTTGCTCTTCTTTTGATGACAGTGCTCAAAACAGCTGTTTTTCACGTGGTTCTTTCGATTTAACAATAATAATAATAATAATTAATATATAGCCTATTGCAACATGTAGGCCTACCTAAAAGTGAACGTTTACATATGAAACTTTTTCTCTTGAAACACTAGAAGACTATAATATATACTGTATATTTATTAGTTATTTTTAAATGTTAGATTTTGAACAAATAACGCTCTCACGTAAAACTACAACATTTCTTACGGCTCCTGAAGGCAGCGGAAGACCCCGCCCCCTCCTCCCCTCACGCTCTTGTTCGGGTGGACAATGCGGACCTCTGATTGGTTGAGAGCTAATGATGTCAGCTCGGCGTTCATAGGAGGAAAAGTCAGCGTGAGAGAGAGAGCGAGAACTTGCATTTACATTCTATGGTCAGGAGCGTGACGATTTCAGAGACGAGCCGGAGACCCAAATAATTAAATATTTCCACCTACAGCAGGTAATGTATGACTTCCTGTTTGTGTTATAAGACGTGAGACTTTAGACCAGAGGACTGTTTAGACCGACAGCAGACTGTCACTGTTCGTACGAAGAGACAGACGTGCTGGAGAAACCTTGTGCTACTGAAAACACCTAAGGAGGTATTTCTGTACATTTCTCTCTGAGCCCACCACCAGCAGATCAAAGTACTGTTAGTTAAATCTACCGCCAAGCAAAATAATGCTAATAATAAGCCATATTGTGTTGTACACACTCTACATAAAGTACACTTGTGAAATAAATTCACAAACGTAGGGAGGGAGGGAGGGAGGAAAAAATAAACCTAAAAATGGGGCAGACTAACGTATTTAAGTAGACTACAGAAACTGCATCCCCTCCATAGGCCTTCACTGTTTTTAGTTCTTTGATATCAGAATGTTTAGGACTTAATTCTAGCTGATTTAGGATGCATAAGATAAATAAATACTAATAATTTTTTTGTTTTACTTTTGATCCTTTAAGAATATTTTCCTGATGAATAATTATGTTTAGTGAAATGTATTGGCTAGTAATAAGGATTTATTTAATGCTTAGGTTAGGATTGATTTTTACCCTACCGGAAACACTGCACACGATGCAAAAGGAACAGCAACCAATGCAATGAACACTTACTGCAACACAGTTTCCAAATGCCAATAAACCATTATTGCTACAAATGTAGAAATGGGGTTGGTACATGTATGGCGCCAACCAAAGGTCTTTGAGTGTAACTACAGTGTTGTGAAACAAACAGTGCTGTTTATGCTTCCCCCACTCCTCCCCTTACAGACAACATGCATTTGTTGACAAACAGAGGGCAAGTGTTGAGAGAAGGTAAAGTTATATTTCTGCATTTTGTGTAAATATGACTCTGGTTGTGTTTATTGCCAGTTGTGGTGACAACTTTTGGCGCAAGATTATTTGTATGCAAACCATACTTGGGTTAGATGACTTTCTGCACCCGGTAAAAGCTGCAGGCAACGATGACACTGATATTGATACGGCATACACTCCTCTGTCTACTTCTTGCTCGGTCACTCCCTCTTTTCTCTTATTACCTTCCTCCATCAGCGTGCTCTTTAATCTCTTAGCCTCAGCCATTGTATCAAACAGTACAGAGATGGGTTAACTGAAGTTGCTGGTGCCATAAACCCGTTCATACTGAAGGGCGTAGGTTTGGATTCAACATTGGGGGGGGACACATTTTTGAGCGTCAAACACTTCATTTCTGTCATGATTTGGTTTTGTATTTGAGTTTCCCTGTTTTATCCCAGTGTTGCTTGTTTCCCTTGTGTGTTAATGTTCCCTAGTGTTGCAGGTTTTTCCCTTGTGTTTCCTAGTTTTGTCTTCAGTGTTTTCTGTTTTAGTTTGTCATTTATTATCCTCGTGTATCTCTGTGTTCTAGTGTGTTTTTGTTTCATTCTTGAGTTCTGTGTGTCTTTAGTGTTTCATGATTTAGTTTGTAGTTGTCCTCAGTGTTTCTTGTATTCCTTCCTCTGTGTGTTTCCCAGTGTGATTGCCCTGATTGTCCTCACCTGTGTCTGTTTACCCAATGTCTATTTAGTCTCTGTGTTTCTTCTCCTCTGGATCAGTTCATTGTTGTAAGTTGTTTCTTGTGGTATGTCGTTCGTTGGTATGTCAGGTTTTGCTCGTGCTCCTCTGTGGCTACCTGTTTTTGATCCTTGTGTTTTTTGTTGAATCTTGGAAGTAAGTTTTTGTTTATTAAAGACTTTTAGTTCATTCTGCACTTGGGTCCACTTCTACTCGTTGTTTTCCAATCGTGACAATTTCCTACATTCTGGTGGATGTTTATGCAACAATTTGTGCCTTTTCTGAATTAATTTATGGTGGGAATCGCTTGACTATGTATAGGAAATTATAATTATTTTTGAATTACTATTAATTATTCAACTGTATTGTGTTCATAACTTTCTGCATATTCAAAACATTACAGGTGTTTTGGGATGTTTTGTTAGGAATCATGTACATCTCAAATCAAATCTATTAGAGAATGACACCTTGTTATAGCCTTAGTATCCAAAATTTAAAACTACATAAAAGCCGTTGTTATGGCTGACTAATCTTTCACTCACTATTTGGAAAAAATGTGGTCTGATATTGTCCGTGTTTATTGCACTTGTTATCAATTGATAGGCAGGCTATGTAAAGAATAATATCATCAAGGCATGTAGATTTATAGCCTGCTGTTTTTATTAATATGTTGGCAGGCAGAGGACAGAACAATTACACAATGAATAAAGCAATAACGTAACACTGCCAAACATCACAATGACAGCGGACTTCTGGGGACTTCTGTTCTGTGTTGTTTAACTCTTAATCAACAGCCTAAATCATGGTTCAAAGTTAAAATGAGTGATAACTTAAACAATGTTATTTAGTTATGCTGGTTCAGAAGCTCTCTGTGTTCAGAAGCTCTTTGTCCTTCTCGCCTCCACGTCGTCCATTCATTACTGATAATTGGACACCTCGTCGGGCATTAACTCGTATACTTTGTGGTGTCACGTCTCTACAGTTAATGGGACGCTAATTCTGACACCAACCTGTTGCTCTTGCTTTGTCTTGTCACTGTCTGCGCCCGCGACCATAGACTGTATAAAGACCACGACTCCTAACCTGACCGGACCTGATCCATTGACCAAGTGTGAGCGAGAGTAAGGTTAAGATGGTATGGTCCACTATAGGGGTGTCTGAAATGATTGGGAAATGTATTTACAGGTCAGAAGGATATATAAATGTTTTGAGCCCCCCAAAATGTTTTTCACTACCTCTTCATTCGACCTTTTAAACTTTTTTTTTTTTTTTTTTTTTTTTTGAGGGGGACAAATCTACCTTTTCTAAATATTGGGGGGGGACACATCCCCTGCGTCCCCCCCGAAATCTACGCTTATGTTCATACTTCTCATGAGAGAACTGCGACCCGCGACCAAACTTACATAGTGCTATAAGCAGGCCACTGGGGCAAGCTGCAGACATGGCAGAGATGATACTCAGCCTGTTGAAAGTTCTTGTAGTATTAGAATAACGTTTAAACTTCTATTTTAAAATGGAAAAGTTTTATATTGTTACTTTAAGAACCACTTCAAACTTAGGACAGGTGAGACCACCTCTACAGGAATGGGGCGGCAGAGGGATAGCTACCAGTGTTGCCCCTTAATGAGCCTCTCCAATGTGTCCAGCTGCCAATATCTGTATATGAGATCTAATCATCAAGCCTTTAAAAGAAATCAAATCAAATCATACATCAATAGATAGTTGCCTTTTGACAGCAGTTCTACATCCAGTATATAGCAGTTTAATAAAAGCATGTCATTTTGCCAAGCAGGTAACATTTTCCTACACTTTTTCTTTTTCTTTTCTATGTTGACATGTTACCACGGAGCAGCTACTTCATATTTTGTACAGTTCTTCCAGATTTCCTGCAACCAATGTAATGAGAGTGGGTCATTGATTGGTCTCTATGTGGCATGTAGATAAAAGACTGTTTGTCCTAATGTTAAATAACAGTATTCAGAAAAGCAGCACAGTGATACACACAGTCAAAGTCCCAGTGATGTTGTTCTCTTTAACAACACTAATGGCAGAAATAACTGTTATAATTAAATGATTATTATACATGAAAGTATTTTGAACTAGTCTCACTCGGGCTGCAAGACATCATACAGGATCAGCCATCAAATGTTTAATGATCAAGTGCAGATCTGCAAAGTGTTTGAATATTTAGTGAAATAAATCAAAGGAATGGTACACGCCTGTAAAATACAATAAGGTGTGTATTTATGTTTGTCTAAGCAGATATGGGCGGTCAGGCCTCGCTGGTGCAGGGTGCCCATGTGGTTGTTGTGGGCGGTGGTTTCGGAGGCATCGCAGCAGCTCAGCAGCTGAAATCACAAGGGTTCAGCTTCACTCTGATCGACATGAGAGACGCTTTTCATCACAACGTGGCAGCACTGAGAGCATCTGTGAAACCCGGTACCTCACTATATTATACTACGATTTTACGAAAAATCCCTTTGCTTCTTTTTATATTATTTATTATGTTGTATTTAATCAATTCGATTTTTACTTTGGTAGAATCAAAACATTTGTTTTTATTATTATTATTATTATTATAAGCAGTAGTAGTACTATTGTTGTTGTATGGTAAAAAGAGGTTTTAATGAACTTGTTTACACAGACAGTGAATCCAGAGAAATTACTGGAGAACATCAGTCACTTGGCAATTTTTTTTTTTTTTATAAGATTTATTTTTGGGCCTTTTTGTGCCTTTAATGGAGAGATAGGACAGTGGATAGAGTCGGAAACCAGGGAGAGAGAGTGGGGAACGACATGCGGGAAAGAAGCCACAAGTGGGATGTGAACCCGGGCCGCCCGCTTGAGACGACAGCCTCCACACATGGGGCGCGCGCATTAACCATTGCGCCCCACTTAAGGCAATTTAAGGTGCAACGGACCAACGTTTGGACGCGCACTGTATAATGAAAACGTAATCCTTTGCACATCGAGACGCTAGTCCTTTGCACCTTAAATTGCCTTAAGTCATTGATATAGTCCAATACTTTCTTTAGAGCGTCTCTGAGACCATAGACCATTTAAAATGTTTGACTTTTTTTGCACTTACTGCAATTTCATAGAGAGTCATTTATTTTTAAACAAACTTTCTAAGCTACAAATGTTATATTCAAATTCATTTAAAAAGAGGAGACAGCTTGGTTATCTGATTATTAAAAATAGTTGTGAATTTATTAGCATCAATACTTTGTTTTTGTTGTTCTGTCACAGTAAACTCAGACAGTAATGGTGATTTAGACTGATGAACTGAACCTTACAGGAGTCTGTAGCCCACAGAAGCCCTTCACAACATCCATAATAATAACATTGTGTGTAATGACTTCAGTTTAGGAATTGACCTTTGACTTCTGGGCATCCTGCAGGCTTTGCTCAGCGAACCTTCATCCCGTATGCTGCGACGTTTGGAGATAGCTTTGTTCAGGGTCGAGTGGAGCGAGTCAACACAGACACACAGACGGTGGTCCTGGCAGGAGGCAAGGTAAGAACACACAGTCTGAAGCTTCTTTAAGTTTACACCTTAAAGAAGCTTTAAAACATCTTAATAGCCCCCTTATTATTTATGTTATATTGTATAGTCTGTTTAAAATATTACATTTATAAGTGTAAACAGCAATTCATTAAGATTTAGGAACATGTATCACTCCAACACACTTGAATGTAAACGTGTTAAAGCAGCAAATACAAAACAACACTGAGGTCAACATATAGGCGCCTTATAGACACAGACGTGGCCTGAGGCTACTTCATCATAGTTTGTAATAAAACAGTGCTGTCCTTTCATGCTGGAGATGAGCTGACATGGATGCATGCTGAATGTTATCTGGACCTCTTTTTATGAGACTATGACAGTCTGTTGCTGGTAGCAGAGGCTCCAGTCTGCAGGGCGGCTCTCACACTTTAGTGATATACTGAGTCGCCATGCTTCATGATCAAGTGAACCTTTGTTTTAATGCCTTCACTCCTTCCAGTATTAACATACTCCGTAGCTCTTGCTCGTCCCTATGAACTATCTTACACCTCCCTTTTCTCTTGTTTGGGACTTGGTGGTTAAAAATGACGATTAGGGCGTACTTACACTAGCAAAGTTGTCCCATATCATGCCACCCCTGGCCTGTTCTCACACTGCTTGAGAAAAAGATAATGGACTACCTTACTGACTTTCACATCTTTAAGTCCAAGTAAAGAGGGGGGAAGGATTTTATGAGCTCATGGTTTTTATTGTGCCTGATTGTATGGGCCCTGATTTTAGGGGTTAGAACCGGATATGAACTTCTGTCTCTCAGAACAATAAAGAAAAAAACTACTGTTATGTTTTAAAATAGTTTATTTTTTATACACTATTTATCATAGTTTTATTTGTTTAAGTAATTCATTTTTTTTCTATTTTTATGTGTATTTTAGTGCAAATTTCATTTTTCGTTTTATAGCTTAGCTTATTGCTTCTTCATACACAGACTGCTGTACAAAACTATAAAATAACAATAACACATGCCGCTACAGGAATATTCAGAGTCTTAATTGATCAAATCAACCTGTGATAAACTACAGTCAGTGTTTTCCTCTGTGCTGCAGGAGATCCAGTACACACACCTCATCCTGTGTACTGGGACCGATGGAGCTTTTCCCGGGAAATTCAACACGGTGGCTTCATATCAGACCGCCATTCAAACATATGAGGACTTTGTAAAGCAGGTACCATGACAAGACAACGAGTACTGAGAGAGGTCTGCAGAGAGCCAAGGTCATCACTGTCTAATCATCGTGTGTGTGCTTGTGTGTGTGTGTGTTCAGGTCCAGACAGCAGACTCTGTGTTAGTTGTCGGAGGAGGCTCGACTGGTGTGGAGATGGCTGCTGAGATCAAAACAGAGTATCCTGAGAAGAGGGTGACAACAAACTTAACTCTGTCCTTTATACACCTTTTTCTATATTATAGAAAAAGGTGTATGCTGCACCTCCTCTTTCACAAACTTTACATCCTGTCTATATATGGTCCATACACATGTCAAGAACTGTTTTTTTACCTGTTGTTTCCATGTCCAGGTGGTTCTGATCCACTCGAGAATCGATCTGGCCGACCCAGAGCTCCAGCCAAGCGTCAGACAAGAAGCTAAAATGGTTCTGGTTGAAAAAGGAGTGGAGCTGCTCCTGGGTATGAAGAACTGACTTCTACACATAGACAGGTATTTGTGTCAGACCATTACTTTTATTTTTATTTATTGTGTGTTTCTTAGGTCAGAAAGTTTTGAATTTGTCAGAGCTGCAGCTGAACGTGACCCAGAAGAACACAATCGTTACCACTGATAAAGGAACCAGCCTGACCACAGATCTTATCATCAGCTGTGTCGGACTAAAGATCAACTCTGCAGCTTACGCCTCCAGCTTCTGTGAGTGCACACACTTCACACCTGATACTGAAACACTGTGCTTTATTTTATCTATCCAAAGACTATGCACATTATACAAATGAGCTAAAACATGTGGTTCTATTATCTGCTATCATGCAAATGCACTGAATATGTCACCATCTAATTATTTTTCATGACTCTGACCTGTAAAGTATTAAAGTACAAGGATGTTCTATTTTAATATGTTCCACAATTTGATTATTATTACTCATACATTTGAAAATAAATGTCATGTAGAAAGAACTTCAACTCATTAGTACAAACTTTGTAAATAGTAAGAATCACAACAAAGGTGACCCACCCACAATGTTTTACCAAACTAACAGTCAAAACCTCTATGTCATTACAAATAAAAATAAATGTTCAAATCATTGACAATAAAGGCGGATATTAAATACAGATGCTGTTGTGTAGAGGTAGAGAGACTGGAGTAAAGTACAGTATCTCAAGTATAGTGTTTGTGTTCATTCAGCCTCTCAGTTATTATTTTTCAGACTGTGCTTTGCTGTCTCTTATAATGCCACTAGAGGGCGATGTCTCTTTATTTTTCACTCTGTTTTCAGACAGTGGTAGATTGCAACAAAAATCTGATGTTGATGTATGATGGTACTGATTGTGGTCCAGTGAGGTTTTTAATCCCCTTATCGTTCCGCTAAAGCCGCTATCAGGACGGAAAGCATCCTACATGTGAAACATCAACACCAGACACACTTTCAGCCATCAGATTTTTATTTTCCATTTTTTAATCATTGATTTCACATATAAGCAGCCGTAAGTGAATGTGAACGCACAGTTTCAGCCATAGTTTTAACAGCAATGTATTCTGGGTACACCACCCCAACTCCCAAGGTCACATTAGTGGATCTTGAAATAATAATCCCTGTATGAATCAGTTATGGATCAGAGGTCTTTTTTTGGGTGACAGCCGGATGTCTGGCTGAAAACGGAGCTCTGAAGGTGAATGAGCACCTGCAGGTCAAAGGTTATTCCAACGTCTACGCCGTGGGCGACTGCGCAGACATTAATGAGCCCAAGACGGCGTACCATGCTGGACTACATGCTGCTGTCGCCGTTACCAACATCAGCTACAGTCTGAACGGGAATGAGCTGACCCCATACCACACAGGTACACACACACATTCACATCTGTCTGGGCTTTAAGTTGTCTTTCTTAGATTCTGGTTGCCTGTCAAAGTTTTTAGATGAGTAGTTGGTTGTCTTTCTTTTTTCCCTTTTCCCCTGTCAGGTTTTTGTTTGTTGTTTCATGTTGTCTAAGTTTCTGGTTGACTGATGTTTTTTCTGCTTCGTTGTCAGTGTTTTTAGTTGCTTTTCTACATTGCCAATTGACTGATGTTACTTCTAGTTGCCTGTCTTTCCTTGTGTTTGTTGATTGACTGATGTGTTGCTTGTTGCTAGGAAGCATCACCATGCTGCTGGCGATGGGCCATGACGATGGTGTGGGTCAGTTCAATGGGTTTAAGTTGCCTCGTTGTCTGGTTGCCCTTGGAAAGAGTCGAGGTCTTCTGCTGTGGAAAAGCTGGCGGGAGATGGGGCAGAAACAACCCTGATAGGACCAAACAGACTTCTCACACAAATGTTCTGTAACAAGCAGGTTCTCCCTGACAGCTGGTGAATTGAAACGCTTGATCCTCAATGGGTCTATTGATCAGTTTCAGATCAGTTCATGTTTTTTCTGGACTTCTTGTGTTACAGGTTTGAGGTGAGGGATAACAAAATCTTGCCATCAGTTACATTGTAATAGTCATCGCCAGAGTTGCCTCTTCATTCTGAACAGCTAAGTTGTTTCTGTTCAGCTCATCTGTGTTATTTATATGAAACTTTGTTTAACCTGAAGACAGAAGTGTGGCAGTGTCTTTCCATTAAACACTTGTCTAGCAGAAAAGAAAGTCAGATTTCTTCTTTCATCTGATACCAAAAAAAAAACTGCCTCGTGAAATTTTCTTGAAGTTTTCCTTAAATGTGTCTGGTCAAATTCAGCTTTACATAAACATTTAACCAATCTATTTTTGTATCAGATCTATTGAATATTTACTGTACATCTGTGTCTACACTCTAGTCTGTATACGTCAAACTTCCTTAAATACATAAATATTGTTATTAATTATTCACTGTTTTAACTTAATCTTGACTATACTCTAACATGAAGCATTTTGTTACTTACAAACCAACAGAAGCCTCATAATGTGTTCAAGGTTTTGTGCAAATTAAACCTTAAATGTTTCTTTAATCAAGTTGTAGCTTGGAAAACTTTAAATGAAAGAAATGAAGTACTGATGTATAAACAGCTTCTTTATTATATTCTTTCAGACTATAAATAAAATATTTTACACCTGAAAAATGGCATGTTTTTCATTTATCAACAACAGAATCAGGAGTTCAGCGTGTTCATTCAGAAAATCATTGATTTTCTATCAACCGGCTTCTCCTGCTGCAGCAGTCATACAAACTTTAAACATCACACACACACTTATAAAACAATATTAGTGATAATAAATGATAACGGATGAGCAGCTGCACAATCAGACACGTTTGTGGGGCAGAGGTCATTTTCTGTAAACGTAAAGTCAAACCTTGGTAAAAAAAACAACAAGAAATAGAAAATCAAATATTTTCATGGAGTGATTTACATGAGTGAGTTTTAAAGTAAATACATTCAGTGGAAGTTAGATAACACCTGTGTTTGGAGACTTTTCCGGCCACCGACTGGCTGCCATCATATGTCTAAGAAATACTTATCCATAAATACGTTTTTTTCCAACTGTGAAAAAAAAGAAAAAAAAAAAAAAAAATCAACTGAATTGAAAAGTTTGACTGAAGAAAAATGATTCCACTGATCACCATTTGACTCCAAATATCCCCTGTGTTTTCGCTTCTCTCTGTAGCCTGTGACAGTAAATTGAATTCACTGTGAAAAGACATTTCACCTTGACTCTGAGCTCCAGACAGATCTCAAAGCATTTCTTGGAATGTTAAAAAGGGATTTTAAGTTGCAGCTGTCAAGATGGCAAAATAAATCATAGGGATCCATGACCCCAAAAAACGTGTTTGTTCATTTAGGTGTCAGTAAAATCAGATTTAACAACTAAGGGTTAAAACAAAAAGCAAGGCAGCACCATGGAATTTTCCAATTAGTCAAAAGTTGATTGGAGCTTCTTTGCCTGCATAGAGTCATTTTTACATGCCCAATGATTTTGTTTAGCATCTCTGGGTTCATCCTTTGAACGTTAAGGAGTAGATTTTTCCCACCGCAGAAGTCAACGTGCAGTTTGATGACGAAAACTGACTTTCAGGAGTGGCACCCCTCCCTGTGACAAACACATCCAACACCCATTGAGGTACAAATGGGTGTTCCTGCTACAGCCTCCTGATTGGCTGCTCACAGACAAGAAGGGAGGTGTGGTGTGGTAAATCCAGTCTAACCAGTACGAGCGGGTGGGAGGGGATGGTTTTTATCACCCTGCTGGAATGTGAAGCTGAGGTGATGATTCAACATTTGACTAGTGTGCCTCACATTGGTTAAATGTGACTGCTGAGTGGGAGACGAGTCAACAAAAAGGCCAGTAGAGCGCATTAGTGTGTATATTAAAAAATGAACATTTCCAAAATATAATCTGGATTCAACACATTGAGCTGCTTAATTACAAATCTGATGAGATTAAAAGGTTTTTTTTTATAATTTCAGTCAGAAATAAACCAAGAAGCAATAATAAATTAATATGTCGTTATCATTTACTTAATAAAATCTCTAATTTCTTGGTCAGAACCCCCATCATTGAGTCGAGGGAAATAGGAGATAGATCTGCTCCATTTGAGATACAAATACATTTGTGTTTGTATCTGTTGACGTGTTTCTTTGCTTGTTAATGTTCACTCATGTTTTGATGGAACAAATCTTCTTCATCCCTCCTAGGAATATTTGCAACTTTATTTCAGTTCTTTTTTAAGATTAAATAAACAGTAAAAAAACAAGCGTAATCTGCTGAAATCGGTGTGAAAATGATACAGACCTTGTGCGGTCTGCAGATGTTGAATCTGGCATGTTTCATACAAAGGATTTTCCATCCTGACACATCAGGGAAAAATCTTTGGCTAAAAGTTTGTTTTTAAAAATTAGCAGCTTCAGTCTTTGTGACAGATATCCCACAATCTCAGACTGTCTACTCGGTCTTGACGATCTTAGCCTGGTCATTGGGTCGCAGGTAAGTCTGGTAGAAGAAGTTGGCGAAGAGCAGCAAGTAGCTAAAGTACATCAGCGAAGCCCAGAAGATGTTGTCGAGTCGGGACGGGCAGCCGCCATGCTGCATCCAGTGGTACACCAGTCCGCTCACCATCAGTCCCATGCCCATCTGCCCGATCTGAGTGCTGGTGATGAGCACAGCAAACGGCCGTGGCACACGCAGGCCCGCAGCACGCGCAGCATAGTAGCTATACATGAGCGCATGCACAGTGTAGTTCATGGTCATAAACCAGCCACCACCAGCCACCATATCTTTGTAAGAGTACCAGGAGTACAGCAGCACGGTGATATGATGGTACCAGTGCAGAAACAGAAGCTTCTGCTTCCTCAGCACAATGAACGCTGTGTCACCTGCCAGACAGAAAACAGGAATTATCAGTCATTATGAAGACAAAGTGTTGTCTGTACAATATTGTTTTTTTAAATCTGTTTAAAATATCCATAATGAACTTATTCTGTTTGATTTGAAGACTGTGCAGACGCTTAGATTTTAGAAGAACAAATAGACCAAGGGAAGTTATCATAAAGCTTCCTCTTACAACCAGTTTCTGCTAGTGAAGAATCATGACATTTTCAAAGAATGTCCCCTTAAAGTTCAAACTAGATCCTGGTGAAGAGTTGCTCTAAGCATATTCCTCGGGCTCTTTTAAAAGCTCTGACAGTAGCCAGTCTCAGAATGACTTGTTTTACATTAAGTTGAACAGACCAGTTTGAGGTGCATTGATAAGGTTAAACTAATTCATATAGAGTTGCGAATTAAATAATAGCAACACCTGTCAGTGTAAGTGTTGTTATGAAATACATTTTGAAAAAAATGTCAATGTATAAAGATAAGACCTTTTTTTTTTTTTTTTAACATATAAATATAAATTCTTGACTTAAATCAAAACACAAATATTAAAATCTGATACTAACAAAAGGCTGACCTGCTCATCAGAAAACAGTTATTCTGAAGGAAAACAACCCTATGATTGAAAAGCTCAAATCCATTCTTGAATTTTAACATTATTGAAACCTTGCTCTACCAGTCCACGCTCCCTTTTCACTTTTAAAAGTATGTGTGTGTGTCTGTGTGTGAGAGTGTGTGTGTGTGAACATACCAAGCTCCGGCGCTTTGCTCAACACGAAGGCATACGCCCAGAACTTGCTGACTGGCCCGTTGTAGAAGCTCTGGTCACAAATGGACTGTCTGAATCCGCTTCTGCTCAGGATGTAAAACATGTAGGAGCCAGTCCGAATGGCACCGATGATGCTGCAAAAACAAAGAAAGCCCATCAACAAACACACCAGAACATGATCAAATAATGTTACACAAAACTGCACTGCCCTCCTTTTTCAACCCTACAGCTGACATGAGACAACATTGTGCGTTTGGTTTTCAGCCACTCAGTTTGTATTCGAACCCATGGCTGCTGCAACAATGACTATTGCCTCTGTACATGGGACTAGCGCTAACCCCCAAGCTGCAAGTGGAGGCTATTCACAATAAATATTAAATAACTACTCACTACATATGCATTTCCAGAGTACGGAAAGCAAGTTTTGGTAATCTATTTCTAAGATTTCAGGGGATGGGTATCTCAATCGATAATGCTTTCTCTGTGGGAAAGGACCACACTCATATGTAAACACATCCATGAGGTATGTGATTAGATACCAACTGAGCCTGCAGCTCTCTCTGGTCTTTAGCAGCAAAGCAGTTGAGTAGCCGTCAAACCGGTTAAGGTGACTGAATGTTGAGATAGGTGCAGTTTGATGGAGTCTATAGGATGCAAGCTGAGCATATCGTTGTCCTCATTTACCTTTACATTTTTATAAACACCATGCCTGTGTTCAGAACATAGATTGTTCAGAGAGAAAGTCTGCCCTTTTCACAAAATGCAACCACGAATTAACGCATGGTTTTACTTGGATTTCAAAAAAATAAGCACTGAAAGCCTTGTGACCAAGTCTCCTTAGATAGCCTTCAAAACCATTTAAACATATCTTACATAATCTAGCCAACTGATAGACCTACAATATCCATTATCTAGTTATCTGGATGTTCATTTATTTCAAAAGAAGAAAATAAATGAAATCAGCAGAATTTCAGACACCTGCAGCAGAGCAACAGGTGACACAAAAACAAAAACACACCTGAGCTGTAATTATCTTCAAGTAGGTCTACATGATGTACAGCCCCACAACAAATGTGCCTGTTACAATGGAGACAGAGGCTACTTAAGGTTGCCACAAGGTAAACGTAAACTAAAGACTAAAAATGCCAACACATAACAGACGCCTGATAATCTTCTTCGTTATGAAGCTGGCAGATTTCCTAATGGAGTCATAAAAAGCACTCCACGTTAAGGAAGCTATCGTTTTATCGTTACTAAAGAATTATTTGAAAAAGGTATTACAGAAATCTGTTCAGAAATATCTTCCAAGAGTGCTGCAAATATTTTAGACAAAAATACACTGTGTTATTCTGAGTAACAAGCCCACTTACAAATATAGATACTAATGACGTACTGTGACCCTGAGTTCTATAATATCAACCACTGATACAGACTCTGATGAGAAACTTGATTTGTTTAATGTTGAACAGCTGTAGATACTTTCTAAAAAACATAATAGTATATTATCTACTATGTGTGTGTTACAGGTGTGTGTGCCGTTACCTGAAGACAGCGAGGCTGAGTGACCAGAGGATAAGCGGTCGCCGCAGGTTCAATTTGGGTCGAGGTTTCATGTAATGCTGACCTCCAAACACCAGGGTGACGTACAAAGCGCTGAACACAAAGGACTTACTCCTGCAAGAAAAAAACAAAAGATAAATCTTAATGTTTAAAGGGGACATATTATGAACATATATTTGGGTAACCTGAGTGTCTACATCCCCACAACATGTGAAATAAACCCATCCAGTCCTTTGTTTGTGGTCTGCATAAGTCTTACAACTCCGTTTCAAATTTGTTCAACTTGTGACATCACAGAGGGATTCTGGTAAAAAAAAAAAAAAAACCTGGTATCTCCACCCAACCCACTGCCGGCCTAGAACAAAACTTTTGCGCAGGTCTCATTTAGACCACAGGATACTGTTTTAAAAAGGTGATAAAGGGGTATAATGCTTATAATGTATGATTTGTAATGTTAAACATTAACGTGAAGACGGTAATGCTACCATGATTTCTTAATGCTTATGCTACAATTGTAATTTAACAGCTAATTTTTTATAATTCTGATTTGCTATTATTACAACCTCACACTCATCTTTAGACTATTTTAATGAACATTTCTTATGATTTTAGTTACATTGAGACTATACAACTTTGAACATCAGATTATTAAATTATACAAGTATTTATTCAATTCTGCTGAGAAACTGGAAAAGTAAACTACATTTGTTCTGTTCAGCAGGTGAACATGCACTGCACACCTGAGGGATGTTGTCAAATCAAATTTGCAGCCTGTGATTAAACAAAAATAATCTTCAAAGTCATACCTTCTTTTTATTAATAATAATAATCCTTGTTGATCGACTCTGTGAGCTAGATCATAAATAATCATATCATTTTCCCATCTGCAGCGTCAATAAGCCCATATTTTAATATTTCATCATCACTGGGGGGGAGAGAATGCAGCTTTAACGGGAAAAACCGGATTTCAATCGCCTACAGAAGCATACCGCAAATACTCCGCAAAGTATGACATCATTGTGCCGGTGACGCACCTGAAGTAGCCTACACCGATAGCCTCAGACTGACCGAACTTATGCAACGCTGCATTTAGCTGTTTGTAATTCCGAGAATAGGCCTACTTAACATCAACGTGTTAAGTGTTTACCCTGAATCTGTGAATCTCAGTAAAGACAGAGAGAGAGAGAGAGAGCCTTGTCAAACTTTCCTAATATATGACTTGGTTTTTAATGATCCAGCTTGTGAGTAAATTAACACTTTAAACAACATTTGTATCCTATAAGCCCCCTCGTTCGGAACAAATGAACTTAAAAGAAACAATGTATGTAAACACATCCATGAGGTATGTGACTTGATGCCTACTGATCTCTCTGGTATTGAGCGTCGGAGCGAGTTGAGTATCGATCAAACCGGTTGTGGTGAATAAATGTGGAAACAGGTGCCGTTTGATGGAGACTACTGGATGTAAGTCGAACTTAACACAGGGATATAGCCTACATCATATAACTGCCTTATTTTATTTTTTTTAATCACAGCGACTTCATTTTTTTAATTGTAAACATTTCAAGGGAGTTCAGAAGTCAGCGTGTCCACTGAAAAACTCTGTATAAGCTGGCCTACTTGAGTCAGAAAGAAGAATCATTATGAGCCGAAGTTCAGCATGAAATAGTAAAGGTGTGTTGTCTTACCAGTTTGCTTGCATCCACTCAATTGCGCTCCTCTCATCAAAGCGCCGCTCGAAGCTGTACTCAGACAGCGGGAGGTAGAAGTCTGACTGATTCAACATATTTCACTTTATCAGTTGTATTAAATCAAAACAAATGGAGTCAGTAAGATAAGTGCGCCCTCTGTCTCTCCTGCGGTATGTCCTCACACCTGTTCGTCTCAGTCCTAATTAATGCCTGTCCGCAGGGGGCGGGGCTTCATGGACACACCTGTGGGCTGCTTCCGCCTCCTCCCTCGTCTTTTGTGTCTCAACTCTCTGCAAATAAAATGCAAATTGTCTGACTATCAAGTACCATACTTTTGTTTTTGTTTTCCCTAAGCAAAAAATCATGTCCCCTTTATTTCAAAATAAAACAAAACTGAGTTCATCCTCAGGAATATTTCGACATCATATATAAGATTATATTCATATTATTAAAAAAAGACGACAACAGAAAAAATAAAAGCATACTATACTTCTATTTAAATCAACTAAAATTTCAACATAGTTTTAAACAATATGTGCAGGTTATCAAATAATAATACAACAATTATAAATAAAAAAGAAGGAGTATACACAAACAATATTCAAACTGTAATGATGTTTCATCTTGGCATTCATAGAGAAAAAAAGTTTATAGTAGACAGCATTAAGATCATTTAGCTTCAGTCTAAGGACTGAATAGCTCTTCTTTTTCATTCTGCAAGCTACACATGAAATACATGTAGTATCTGATTCTAAGATTATTCCCTAGATCGTAGAACTCACAGTTTCACACAGGCTGGTTTGTGTTAACCCTGTGCTGTAATAATAAGACAGATAAAAAGGAAATAATCACCTCCATTAATTTCTTTATCCTATTGTTTTTAGGAAACCAAACAAACAAAAAAAATACTAAGAAAAATAACTTGAATCCCAAAGTGGACCTTTATTAGCCTATATTTTAATTATATACATTCAGTGAAGGGAAAGGCAGTTAACACTCACATCTGAGAAGCTGGATCCATAAAAGGTTTTCACATTGAACATTACTCTTATCATTATACAAATGATTGTCTACTATTTCCTTTGAACTCGCCTAAGAATCCATGCTCAAAGATTTAGTGCTCTACTACACTTTAGTGTTTCATGTTATGAAAAATCAGATTTTCTAAATTATATTATTGATGTGCTGAGTGTGTGAAAACCTTAGTCTGTAAAGTTTCTGTCTAACAGGTTCTGCCCGCTTAGTAACCACACTTAACACTTCACTTCATACAGGCAGTTCAGATCTTCTGCCTTTACTTCCTCTATCTTTATCTCACAGATGGATTAACGGTATCTCAATCTTTTTTTTTTTTTTTTTTTTTACAATGAATAAACATCATATTAAAGCCCCGGACAAAGGCTGCATCTATATGAGCAAAGAGCTTTTCTATGAACAGATTTTTACTGACTGTAGAAATATAGTTAGACATTAAAGTGCTGCATGTATTTTTATACTTTTATCTCAAAAAAGTATAAGCATCTGATAAACATTTACTACCATAAGTTCAACTTGTGCCAAATAATATAAATGGATTAAAATCATTGCTGCATTGATGTATTCAACAGTTAAATGTTGCAGCTAAGCTGAAGCTCATTTCTAAAACTTTGTTGCTATACTGCTTGATTATTATTTGCTTTTGAAAAATTGTCATTGTGTATTTTACAGATTTTATTTGGGATATTGTCCTTACATTTATCGGATAGTTAAGATACATTTTCAAAGTATTTTATGCTTCAGTATCTTTTCATGATTTGATTTAAAGTGTTTGCTGACAAATAAGCTGTTGTAAATCGTCATAATTTTCCAGTAATCAGAATCTGCTGAGCAACTAAAGATGTCAGATTGATTTATTGAATGAAGTGTACCTTAAATTTGACCCAAGTAGAAAAATGCACATTTCCTCTCTGTGTTTATGTTGTGACCATTGTTTCTGTCAGTCGTTCAATTAGAATCATTTTAAAGGCTTGAAAAAGTGAAACTTAAAGAAATGTATTTCATTTGAAAACATTATTTTTTTTCTTCCTTTTGGGGCAATAACTCAGCAGAATCATCATGTTGATATGAATCAAACATGTCATGTAAAATTGACTTCACATTTATGATATTCAACAATCCAAGAAGTGTGTATCTTTAAATACTACTATTTGCAAATGATCAACACGATAAACACATCAACATGATAAACACCAACAGAGACATTAAGTTTTAATTTAATGAACTATTTATCAAGACTTCAGGTAAAAACTCTTCATGAACTATGAAGTAGTATCAGGTGGAAAGTGTTCATATTTCACAGTCTTTAAGTGAAAAAGAAAGAAAACAGACTGACATATACAGAACTGCTGCCACCTACTGGAAACATCCCTCAAACCTCAGGAAAACCCATCAGTTCATGTTTCTGTTTCCTTGTGGGGTTCTGGGTTTGTAACTGCATTTGCTCTTACTCTGTAACAGCATCATGTTTAAAACAACAAATGTGTGATTAAACAGTTCAACAAAACATATAAAGTTGTTTGACCCGTCAGAAAGTTAATCTGGCACAAAATCAGCAGGGCCTCAAAGCTTAATTTAAATAAAGACAGAATTGAGCGTCTAAATCATTCTTCTAATTCTTGGATGTGGAATTCTCTATATTTTAGCTCCTTCATAGTATTTTTCATAAAGGAATACTGAAAATATTGTTCATATGACTAATATGTGTTTTTTCTAATGTAATAAAAGAGCCCTTCAGTTTGATCAGCAATGTACAACAGTTTACAGTATGCAGAAAGAGAGAAAAAACATTTCTTCATTAAAACAAAAAGGGTAAGGACTCTTCCTTTTTATGTTGATTGGCGCCCCCTGTGGACAAAAGCTATTATGTTCTCTCTTTGATGATCTTGTTCTGCACATGCCAAAATAATGTTTTTGGATGAGAAAAATCCATCCTGCCTTCTATGAACAGTCAATCGTATGAAACATTGTTATACTTTACTGCAGAATGTGTAAAAACTTTGAATAAAATATGTTGAAAACAAAGGAGCAAGTTGTTAAGAGCAAGATACAGTTTAATACAGGCTACAAAAATAAATTATATTTCAGAAATACATTTTGCAGCAGCATTGCACCTTTAAAATAGAATGAAGGAAACTAAGAAGATATGCAAGAAGAATTAGTCATCGTATTTCAAGATTGCCTAAAATGACAACATGAATTTTAAGAATAAAATAAGATTACATTTTATGTTTTGTTTGGGAACGCGTTATGAAAGAAACAGACATTAATAGTATCTCAAGTAGCCAAGTAGGTTAAATGCTGCCGAGTTAAGATAAATGGAGCATATTTGTCTTTAGCTAGCCTACATTTCGACTTTATTATGAAAAATAAAATAAAAATCTTGGAAAATAAAAACTTAATATGATATTAAAACAGACAGGTTGAAAACCTTGAAACAAGACTAATATTTAAATTACCGCTGTGTGTGTGTGTGTGTGTGTGTGTGTGTGTGTGTGTGTGTGTGTGTGTGTGTGTGTGTGTGTGTGTGTGTGGTCCTGATCCTTTGTTGTTTTTGTGTGCGCGTGAGTCTACTGGTCGGTCCGGTCTGATGTCTCCTTACGTCGCTGTTACGTCACATCAACGATGCGGAAGCTGGAATCACCGTGGAGAACGTAAACTAATGTCAACCAACCGCCTAAAAAAATAAAAAAAAGAAGCTTCGGAAGAGGCTGAAAAGAGGGAGAAAAGAGGGAGAAAAGAGGGAGAGTTCACCGATGTGACTCTGAACACGGCGGACAGGTCACCTCCGGCAGCTCTTACACCGTTACCGGCATGTAACTCTGGTTAGTTAACCATCACATCTGTCTCATTTCTGAGAACACGACACCGTTACTGTCTCATGGAAACACCGGGAGACCCAGAGCCCACTCCGGTGCTGCTGAGGGGCTACATGAGTCTCTAGGAAGCTGCAAGACCCGCTGCTCTCCATTACCCCTTGAGGCAAGTGAACAGCATGTCAATCTCTCTTCTAAAAACACATACTTTTAGATTCTCTTTGGGTGTTAGCTACATTACAAAGATGCCCGAATAAAACTAAAGTTACTCGAAGATTGTCTGGCGTCTCTTAATCAATTCGGCATTGGTATTATCGCATGAAACAGCAGTTCCTTGAACTAATATTCTTTGTTTTGCGGTCCTCCATCTGTTAACGATTGTCTTTCCCTGACGTCGGTCCTCCCTGCTGAGCTGTGGCCAGCAGCGACCCCAGCCTCTTCACAAGTCGACATTTCAGTAAAGGCAGTGCCACTGGGTCGCTTATATACAAGCCGTACTCTAAATTATGACCATGTGGTCTGTAAAATGCCTTGGGATACACATATGACCTCGGTTTCTTGGGAGAACAAGCAAGGGATGCCGTAAACTGAACTATTTTTGAAAGGAGTTCAGGCGGTGTGGCTGCTTCCGAGAACAGCGGTTGTTGGAGCTTGAAAAACACACAGAAGAAAACGCATCCTAATATCAAACATTATCGCTTTTATTACTCTTACACAGTGTACTTGATCAGGTTTTATGTTTTGTATAGTTTTATGGATTACACTTCAGAGATATCCGTCAAATTATCTGTAGCCTACCGAGTGCCCTGTATTCAGGATCGGGATCAGGGATGTGGAAGGTCGAGCGGCAACCTTTACATGACGGGACACTTTCTGACACAAGTGTCACATTTATGGAAGAAAGCTCTCAGAAATAGACCAAACTGAATCACAAATGATTTCAGTTTTGCTTTCAAGTGTGTATTTGTGTCCTTTGCTCATTGATATCAGGTCATGTGAGCACAGAGTGAAGGGAGGAGGGCAGCAAAAACCAACACTAAATATCTGTATTGATCAATCTATTGATCTTGTTTTTAACTCCTTTTATGAATATAATGGATAATGTCCTTGAGGGAACTTTAATTATAGATCAATCTACAGATTATTTTCCACGATTAATCATTTAATTGTTAAGTATTTTAGATATTTTCATTATTTTGCCAGAAAAAGAAACCAAGACTAAACATCTTCTATAACTGTCCTTAATGTTAACTAAAAGCAGCAAATAGATTGACAAATGAAACAATTCATCCATTATATATATTATAAACGTATATGCTAATTCAGTAAACCATTTTTAAAATGATAATGGAATAATACAATATTTTTCAGTGGCAGCCTGATTTTGTTTTGCTCTGGATTCAAAGGATTATCATTTGTTACAAGCCAGGGAAAATGATACTGTATGTTGCGAAATTGTCACCGGTTTTTGTTGTTTGACTAAATCATTCAGCATCAGCATGTAGATCAGCAAGTAACCTAAACATCACGGTCAGTAAGTTCACGTCAGTTACCAGGAAAAAAAACCAGAAATCTCATGAGATCAACTCAGCCACTCTCATAAAGATCGGTTGTTTTTACTGCTGTGGAAACTTGTTCGAAAGGTTTTAGTTTCTTGTGTGTGAAAATAGATTTTTGACAACAAAAGTAGAGCTTATGAGCCTCACTTAGACCATGTGCAGGGTTTTATCAGAGAGTTTTGAATTTTTAACACATGTTCTCAAGTCAGTTTTATTCATAAAGGCCAACATCACAGATCACAGTTACAGATCACAGTTTAGCCTTGGGGGGGCTTTACAGTCGGCACGTGACCCTCTGTGTGCTGGATCTTCCCGATTTTGTTTGTTCATATGATTCTTCTCATAGTGTTACAAAAGGTTTCGCGGCTCATTGAAGTGATGATTAAAGGATTATACATTGCAAAACTGAAAAACAGGGAGTCACAGGGGTTTGTCTATTTCTTTTTGTCAACAAATCAGTCAGACTCAAATTAACAACATGTTCATGCATCCTGCCTGTGGCTCTCAGCTCCAAGCCCATTTGTTCCTACTGAAGACTTCACAAAAATATGTTTAAAAGACCTCTCTACTTTCCTAACACAGCTGCTCTCTGTAGTTTACATCAAACAAACTAGAGGCAATAGTGCACTGGTTTGTGACTATTTACAGCATCATAATAATCCTAATTTGGTGCTCGAGTGAATATTTGGGGCAGCAGGATTTTGGATTGAGTCAAAAATAATCTACTGTGTGTGTTTGAATGGATGGACCATGTTAACCAGTGCATCGGCTAGGCTTCTTGATGTATTGTAGCCACAATGTGTGGTTCACTGTGAATTATGAAGGAAATGATAATCCCAGGGGGTTGCTCCAAGATGAAAGTGGGTATTTTTAATTGTTTCATTCTCTGTTGGCCATGAAAAGACTGGACGGGTTACCTGCGTGCCTGCACGCACTCTGTCCATCCTCTCATTATACAAGAGCAGTGTCTTCCATAATAATCGCTTAAGGTACTTTTGTGCTATGTAAGTACTAACTATATGCTGTGCTCCTCTACCTGACGCTCTCTTTATGAACCTACTTTACTTGCTTTGTGGGGCATAACATGTACAATGTACAAGTATTTTCTAACTCCAGATACAGACTAAAAGGATAGACTTTAATGGCAGGAATGTTGGGCCATGAAAATAAAAAGCTAATTTGTTCAATAAATCAGTTATTGATTCAGTAAAACACTTTTGTGGTTGTTTCTGTGCACGGTGTTTAAGAGTGGAAGAAGTTAAATGAGATTCCACAGTGTGTTGGTTTGTTGATTTTAGTCTAAATCTGATTTTCTTCTCTCCTCTCAGACTTCCTGTCGTCAGTGCTCCTGTCTAGCTCCGCCTCCTGTAACTGAGGTACTGCAGTGCACACACACACACACACACACACACACACACACACACACACACATGCACAAATACTGCCCATATGGATGCTTGCTTCAGCATGCAGACTGATTGATGTTTGTTGTACGGCGGTAAATATTACTGCACAGTCCTGGCACTGCACTGAGGAGTGCTGTTGGGTGGGTGGGGGGGGGGGGTATCTTTTGAGAAGGGGTTTATGGTTTTACAGATTATTTTGATGGACCACACAGATTTTTTGGAGTTTGTTTTGGGGTTTATCGTTATCATTCATCATCAGACAAAGGGATTTTAGCTGAAGTGTCTGTTCTCAGTCCTCTTGATATAGACTGACCACTCACAACTTTATAATCAAATACGTTTTATTATTTGTGTCAAGAATTTTGTATTTTACAAAAAACAATAAAATATACTTTAAAATACACTTTCTAAAGAACAACATTTCAAACAAAAACGCAGCTGAAAGTACTTTACAACAAAGAAATTACATTCAGCGAGTGCTTCATATGCACCAGACAGAATGAAAATTAAAAAAGTGAAATAATTATTTCAAATTTAGATGGAGAATTGTTGGAGCATAATGCTTAAAATAGAAAAAATTAAAGAAAAGACACAAGGTCCTGCAATAGTAAAAATATCAGAAATATGACTAAAGATTAACAATTAAAATATTCATAAGTAAGTGTATCTATTATTGAAACTAAGAGAACCGCTACGGGTTTAAACAAAGATGGTCGAATGATGAAAACATTGAACAGGGAATGTGTAAAAGTTTCCTGTTCACACTTGATGGTAGAGCTTAGTTATATGATTGGATAGTTTGAATGTCACTAGAATAATAATAATAATGTCAAGATAGGGCAAGTTTATTCATATAGCACATTTCAGCAACAAGGCAATTCAAAGTGCTTCACCCACGACATCAAAAGCGTCAAGACAAAAGAAAACAGAAACATTAGACTAGAACATTTAAAAATCACTAAAACAAATGTGAAATGTATGATCTTAATTGTTTATTATGTATGAATGTTTTTAATTCAATGCTGGTTCAGTTTGCAGACTTACAGTAACGCCTCTTTGTCCAAAGGATCTTTTAACTCGGGATTGTCAGTTCTGTGACGGTTTATGATGTGGCTGTGTGGGTTCACATGTTTGTTCACAATCATTAAAAACAGTGGAGTGAGCATCTCTGAAGAAAGATCTGGTTTACCTGAAACATGTTTGGATATTCTATTAACGTTGAACTGGAGCCATCATCGAGGACTATAACCTAAACTGACTAACTCTACAAGAATGACGAACCTGAAAACACCAACGTCATCAGGAAAAAAGAATCAACTTCACCTGACAGCTGTTCACCAGCTGCAAGAGAAGAAGAAACGTCATCGGAAAAACACAAGTTTAAGAAACTGAAATGGTAAGAAGAGCCATTTAGTTCACTGGGAGCTGTTTAAATGGAAGAAAAATCACACTTTAATACCGGACACCAAATGCACCAAACAACTGGACCCCCCTGCTGTTATTACAGACCTCGAACTTCTCACAGCAGTGCACTCTCCCGCTGTTAGTAGGGACACTGACACTGGAGAATCCTGCTATTATAACAGACACTGAACTCATCACAGCAATAAACTCTCCGGCTGTAAGAAGGGACACTGAACTGAACACACATTGGCTGTCCCACTGTAATTTCGAGACACTGAACTCAACTCAGACACTGGTTTGTCAAACTGTTTGAACACTGAACAAACGACAGACCCTCGACTGCCCCGCTGTTATAACAGACAGTGAAGTAATCATTGACTCCGGCCTGCCCTGTTGGTGTGACAGTTACTCAACAAACCTCACACTCTGGACGGACAAATCTGACCAACACCTGAACTAAAGTTTTTTGTGACATCACTGCTGTGGGCGTGGTCAAAGAGTTTAATGTGTTACTACTGTTTTATTAATCCCTCAATCATACAGCTCTACTGTGCATTGTCCACTTAACCAGCTAAGGAGTCCTGTCCAGGTCTGACCCTGTCATCTGACCCTGAGTCCCCCACGCCTAATTCAAATCCTTCCAACTCCAGAGTCTTATAAGATATGTTGCCTGCCATCTGTCAGACCTGAACATCATTGGCTGAAAGAAAGAAAGGTCTACAGGCACCACAGAATAGGACTGGCAGGCAGGGTGCCATGAAGAAGAGGTGGGGAACATCAGCTGATTGATACATTTCGGAAGTGTAGGTGTTGGTCTCGAGAAGGGGTTAAGACAGGGGGTGAGGAAGAGGAGGGGTGAGGAGGAGGAAGAGGAGGAGCCCATGGAGGAGGAAGAGGAGGAGTTAGAGGAGGAGGAGAAGCTGAGTCGAGTCTGTAAATCCACGATGAGCAGGCTCTGCTGCAGACAACAAGTGTTAGGAGACAGAGAGTGGAGGTAGAGGGAGGATAAAACCAGCTTACTCCTATGACACAGAGAGTGATACGAGGACGGGACGAGAGAGAGAGAGAGAGGAAAAGGAGGTTACCACGGCAACTTGGGGGATGTTGCTGCAGCAATGAGGACACCGGGACACACAGGTAAGGTTACAGCTACTGTGTTTGTGTGTGATTGTCGGCACGTGTCTGCATATAGATGTGTGGTGTCATTAGAGTGTGTGTATGTGTGTGTTTGTCTCTGTGATTGTGTGTGTGTGTGTGTGTGTGTGTGTTGGTGGATTGAGCAGTGCATGCTGGGAGGGAGGAGGAGGAGGAGGAGGAGAGGTGGATATCAGGGGAATCCTATTAGCAGAGTCCAGGAAAAGTAGGGCTAACTTTGTTCTTATCAGTGTGACACACAAACACACCCACCCATGCGCACACACACCACCTGCAGAGTGACAGTATTTAAGGGGATGTGTTCCTTTTTTCTTTTCTTGTGTTGTACATTCATCTTCAGACTTCAGTCTGTTAATTACGTGGCCGTTAACTGTAAACTGAGTGCAGAGTTCAACGTCAGATAAAAGTCACTCGACTTGAGCGGCATGCTTTCATCTTTAACACATAAGAGGACACCGTTTCTGTTGTAAGACATGAAGACTTAAATTGAAAGATATATTAATAGATAAAGAAATCAATTCAGGAAATAGTGAATGCAACAAATGGCTATATTATTAGAATGGAAATAAAAACAACATTCATTCTTCAGGCCTATCAGACAATATCATAGTGGACCCAAAAAATGAGCATTATCATTATTTATGTTATTAATCTTGTTAAAGGGTTTTAAATTTAGGATTTTGTGTGTTCTTTTTTTAAGTTTAAAAAACAAAACAACAACAACAACAACAACAATGTAACGCGAACAATGAAACTGGTCCAGGCAGTGGTATACAATAATTGCCTGTGTTATGCAAAGTAAAGATTTGAGGAGTGCAACATATCAGATGTGACTAGTTTCCAAAAAGCACCTTACTTTTTAGCTTAAAGGTCGTCCCCTGCAGGCCTCCTTTCTGTATATTGTCAGACAGACAGGAAAAACAATCTCAGCCTGTCAGTTGCAATAAAAAAACACAGAATTTGTTTGTTAGGGTGAATCTGCCACCAATGATGCAGCCATTAGAGTCATTTCATGGCTGCACGCTGAAGCAGTCTACTTTTTCTATTAGTCATTTACAAAATCTGTAAGAATACAGACTTTGTTAAAAATACTGAAAGTCCCTTTTAAACCTAAACACATCTGTATCTTCATTAAGGGCTGCTCAATTATGTAAAAAAATCATAATCAGGATCATTTTGACTGATTTTAGGATCATGAACAAACATGATTACTCATTGAATCTACAACATCTGCATCACATGCATTTCTCACAGACGCATAATACTTTAACATTCAGGGCACTTTGAAAAACAAGCAATACATGAAAATATATTGGCTAACTGAAGAGAAACATTAATATATAAAAAAAGAATAATAGATCAACATAAATTAACTGTGTTTGTTTGGTGATGGCGATGTACTCTTGTGGCCAAATATTAACAACAAACACTGAAACATTTAACACACATGAGAAAACCTTTGCTCAATCGTGCGCAACACGGCATGTGGCACAGTAATCGTTTAATCTTGATTATCTTGTTTTCATGATCGTGGGAAGCCAAGATTGTAATTGAAGCGTCATTAATTGCTTGGCTCTTTCTTTATTATTGTTATTATTATTCGCTGTTTTGGTTTTTAACCATGCTTTTAATTCTGGTAGCTAAGTATTGTGCACATACCCATTGTGATCCCACCCTCTATTACAGAAAAACCTCATCTAGATATGTGTTTTACTCTGTCCCCTTATAAAACTCATTTTGTAGTAGTTTACCTCCCAACCAATTGTTCCTTAAAAATGATCTCAAGAAGTTCAGTGTCATGTTCTCTGTGTAATTCAGCACTGTGAACATGACTACATGAAGGCTTGTAACCATAGACTGTATATGAACAGTTAACAGAACAAATTGCATAGCTCAACTCTGATAGCCACTTTTGATGCAGTTGACACAATATGAAGATTACATTTTTAAGTTTTGTAAATAGGCTAATAAGACACAATGCATTCAAGAGATGAAATTGATTCTGTTGGTGAGATTACAAAAAAAATATGACACAACCTCTAAACAACGATCCCAGGAGAACGGTGATGTGATGCTTGTCTCTCTTTTATGTAAGAGTGGATCTGTTTGGAATTTAGACTGTTGGCATGGAGACGTTACAGGGGCCTGTGGGAAGTTATGTTGGACATTTTTCAAAATGATTTTAGATCACTATTCTTGACATAAATCAACACATTATAAATGAAATGCATACAAATTATTCTGAATATAATTGTTGCTTGTTGTAGCTGAAGACTAAATACAGTTCAGTTAAAACACCTCCCCAAAGTGAAGTGTGATTACATTTGTGAATGAAGTCTGGTGTTGCACAAAGGTAAACTCACCAGAACGTGGTTTGAACAGGCCCTCTGTCTGCTCTAACACATGACTGAGCTCTGTATGTGATGCAGATTGTTAGATCTGCGATTAGTACTGTTAGAACGTAAGCAGCTACTGTGTTGGCTTCATGTCAATATCAAACCAGTACAGCCTGTCCCCATTTATATTTTCAATGTGAACTTGGTTTGATAACTTTGTTAACAACCTTAAACAAAGAAATCAATCAAACTTTATTTGTATCATCTCAGGCACTTTACAAAGAGAGCAGGTCAAGACCTTACTCTTTCAAATGACCGCACATTTTTTCCTTGTTAATCAATTTTTTAAAAGTCCTTAAGAAAATACTAAATAACTTGCATGACAAAACTAAGAGGAAAGCATCAATTGTGAAACAAAATCTCTGTTTTCCTTCATCATTTCAGACCTCTCCCATTTAAATATTGACTCCTTGTTGGGGTCTTTTGGCTGGTCAAATCATTTTCAAAATCAGGCCATTCAGAACAGGGCTAAAATCTGAAGACAAATTCAAAATATTAACAATATATACAGAATATGACTAAAAACAAACATTCACTGCATGAATAGTTCTTCATACCTCTCAGTTCTTGATTTGAGTACTTTCTTTGATTAGTTTCTGAAAACATTAGTTGCATATCAAGAGTTTGATGTAGTGCTGACAGCGTGTATAAATTGTCAGACTGAACATTCTCTCAAATCTGCCTCAGCCTTTGTCTGAACTCAGTTTTAGTTTGAAGATTGTATTTTGCTTTGTGAACAAGCTAGCAATCCTTTAGCATTGCAAAAGCAAGCGAAAGTTAAACGTTTTTACATGTGCACATTACTTCACATATACAGAACCTTGAACTTTGATTTCGAAGACCCTTTATGTCAGTAGCCGGGCAGCCCTGGATCAAAGTGGTGACACGTTTTTTCTGTGTCAAAGTGTTTACAGAGGAACACTACATTACCTGCTGACAGCGGATCCAGTTCATTTGGACTGTGGGGGCTTCAAGCCATCTACAAACTTCCCGTCTTGAAGACAAGTACTTCTACAGATTACACACTGAATGTACACATTGAGGTTTCAGAAATGCAGGATGGAGGGTGCAGTTCTACATTGAGATAGGGGGACATTTAACAAAAGATGCAGCCTTCCCCTGTGACTTCATTAGTTTTATTTCAATTATAGCTAATTAGTTTAACTACGCTCACAAGATGAGAGCCAGCTCTGAATGAAAGGTCATCTGATTAAAGTCAATGTTACCGTGACGGTGATGAGGACCGATGTCTGAGCAGGAGAGCAGCTGAATTCAGTAAACACAAACTGACTGTTTCAATGCTATGAGGAGCTGCTGTGTGTTTACTGTGAAGAGGAAAGCCCCCTTTGATTCTGCTCAGTGTGTTCATTTCAGATGTATGACTGAGGTCTTTGTTCACTTTCACATTTTGATATTGAGTTCATTGGTATCAAACTTTCCTTTTTCCTTAAATCCTCCTGTTAGGAAGTTTATTAGAAGCTGCTGTGTGAGTTGTAATCGTTCCTTTTGTAGAAAGATACCCTTTCATATTTGAACTTGTTTGTTAAAAAAACGATTCAGTCCCAGTCTCTGTACAATAACCTTCATAGAAGAGAGGGGAAAATCACAATCTGATCAAACTCTTGATATGAAATTTATCTAAATAAGCGTATGATTTCAACTATCAAAAGTGATTGAAAATAATTTAAAAAACAACACAAAAGACAACACAACATCCTGTACAATAGGTTAGCTGTTTCTTGTAACATTTTTCCCTCACCATGGACCTCCATTGTCATACAGTTACATTAAAATGACTGTGTGTACATGTGCTTATATTCAGGTTTTTGCTCATCACTGAAAAGACAACATTTGTTATTTACAAGGCTTATGACTGTTTAAAGGTAGCTTTCTGTACAACACACAGATCAGACATTAAGAGAGAGGGGTCTGGCTACACACCTCCACTGTCAGAATCCTCCGTTGCAGGCTCCACTGTGAGGACTCCTCCGCCATAGACATAAACATAAAGTTTGTGTGTACAGCGTAAACGGTTAACGATAGAAAAGCAGTAGCAAAGTACATTCTATGTAGGAGTGTAGTGAAGCTTATGTCAGCAAAGAACACAACAGAATGAAACGTGATTGTGTTGAAGGACAAGCTTAACAGACTGACAGGCAAAGTGACTGTTCAAGAAGCAGCCAACAGGGGGCGCAGTGCTGCCAGCGCTGAAATGAACTCTAATCGCTCATTAGCAATTAGACCATAAGCAAGAAGATTGAGTTTTCTATGTAATATTTCTTTAGATGTGTAACTTGTGCTAGCCTATCTGTCAAAGTAATGTACAGTACATATCCAGACTCGGATAGCCTCTCTTTGCATGATCTACTGCAATGTTCTCTGGTATATATACGAAACTTAATATACCTAAGACGTAAAACTAAAGGAAGCTAGGATAAGTTTTTTGTTTCTATAAATACTACACATGGAAAAACAGGAAAGAGATTAAATGCATCACTTTGTCCACAGGAGTCAAAATGACACAAAATGATAGCTCCTCACAGAAGCTCTAAATGTGTTACTTTCTCTAAAAACAAACCAGCAGCTTGTTATGCTAACCACCAGACGACATACCGGTCATTCTCATCGTATATGAAAGCAGATTATATATCTTGACATGACAACATGGTGAGTACGGCTGAGCAATTTATCAAGTGTCAATTTCAATTATGTTTTGGCCTCCGACGACCATGAAAACAAGATCATTGAGATGAACCCATGACTGTGCCACATGCCATGTTGCGCTCTTTTTGACCTTGAATGTTTTAGGGTTTGTTGTTATATTATAGCCATAAGAGTACATCACTACTTCCTTAAAACATAGTGAATTATATTAATGTTTGTATATTCATAGTTTCTTTAGCCTATTTATTTTCATGTCTTGCTTGTTCATAATGAGTGTAAATGCATGTGATGCAGATGTTGTCGAATCAATGAGTAATCATGTTTAATAATCGTAATCTCAGTATCAATCCAAATAAGTAGAGATGCACCGATCCACTTTTTTTCAGTTCCGATCCCATTGCAATAACGATACTGATTCCGATATTTTTTTCATCAAAATTAATAGTTTCATTGTTGTTTTTGGTATTATGTGTAAGGCTACACAAAGCTGTTTTAAACCCGGAATTGCATTGTTTTGTGCTGGCTTCACATACAAACAGCAGCAACAACTGTAAGGTTTTCAAATTAAAAATTTTAAACTAAGAATTGCACTTTCTAATCACATAGAAGGAGCTGTTCCGTCTCGGCTGAACGTTTTGGTGTTGAAAATTTAAGGGCGCTTTGCTGTTCAGTCTGAATGTCTTCAAAGCGAGACTGTTAGAGCTGAGAATGTTTAAAGTGCCCAATGACCTTTCTTGATCAGTGACGTGGGTCTGTGCCATCAGTCAGATATCCGATACGTAAATTAGGTAAAAATAGGACCCGATACCGATATTAGATTGCATCGGTCCGATCTGTAAAAATAAAAGTGATCGTGATTTTTTCCATAACCAGGAAGCCCTAAAGATGTCCCACATTACAGTCAGAATGCAGACGAGGATTCTTTCAGAGGAAGTGGAGATGATGCTTGTTCTTGTTGCAAATGGATTGAAATACAATCCTGAGGTTGTCTTACAGCAGCTTGTGTTGTGTTTCTGACTGTTGGTAGACTCTATGTTAATGCTGAATACAGGCCTTATCAATTCTTGTGTAAAGAGTGATAAACCCTGAAAAACCTTAAATCCCTTGAAATTGTATTTAATAGTTAACAAACTTTATATACAGTATGTGAATACTGGTACAGTTATACCACAAACTATATCCTTCAATCGAGTACAAGTTATTTACAATCAGCTAAATGTTTTTAGGTAAACCCAAAGGGGGCGCCGAAAAGGCAAGCAGTTATGTCCCACGCTGAATGTACGGGGGCTATAGTCCTCATTGCAGCGCCCGTGGGTTAGAATCTGACCTCAGCCCTTTGCTGCATGAAATTTGATAATGCTACTGGCAAATAATACCACAATTTGAAAACTGCTTTTTATTTCTGTTTATGTGACTGAACTAAACTGAGATTTGATAAGCTTAAACACAAACGCACGCACAAGTATGCACACACACACGCACACTGGCACCCCATCAGTACAGTAGAATCTGCACTGCCCTTGAAATTGCCTTTGAATTTGCGTCTGGGGCATTATTATCGAATTATCAAAGAGCTGAGGTTCAGTGTTGTGCATTTTTTTATATAATTTGTAATTACAGAGCATTCAATGTGCTCCACAGTAAAAGAGTGAAACAAAACAAGACAGGTTTTCTGAAAATTGAAATTAGCTCTTAAGAGGACAAGAGGAGAATCTCACGTATAAACAGATATATGTGTTGTAAAAAAAAAACTCACAAAAGAGCTCAAATCAAACTCTCAACTAGCTGCTTACAATAACTGAAGTCAGTTGAATAGTAGTCGTTGAAAGCCGGAACGCCACTTGTTGCAGTAAGGAGGCACAACGGATAAGTCATTCATGTGTTGAATTTGGGCTGGAAACCTTTGCTGCTTAGCTTTGTACCACGCTCCCTCTTTCTTTTCTTTGCAGTTTTAATTTGACAGACGTGAAAAATAATGAAACTTATTGTCAATGTCACTTAAAGAACAGTTGCTGATATTGATTAAAGTAGTCAGTGTTAATAGAAGTCAAACTGCCAGAAACAGGAAAAAGCGTCAGTGATCACTTGATTGCTATACAAAAAATGACATAATGGCCCATTCATAGTTTTACTGTTTTTTTTTTAAACAAAAAGTCCCAAATCTTGCCCCTTTTTAATTTTCAAGCTAAGGAACTTATGATTATATTTTTTAACTTATGACTGTAAAATAATTAGATTTTGATATTGATCAGACAAAACAAGCAGTTTAAGGTGGTTGCTATAGTATTTTACCACATTTTACCTATATTACATCAGATCTCTTCATTTGATCCTGATCACCATTTGTTAGTGTGTGAGTTTATGTTCCCTACATTTCCCGCAGTCTTGTGGTTTCATGTGCATTCAGACTTTTGCATGATCCAAATGAATTGCTCGAGATTCAAAACTGAGGAAGACAGCTGCAGATTTCTGTCAAATGGAATACAGACAACATATAGGAGAGTTGACTGTGGGTTGTTAAAAGTTTTAGTGGTATAACCTGCAGACCAGACAACTCTTTGGATTGCTGGTCTCAGCTTCACTCTCGAAGCTGCTTTCTCTAATCTATGAATAGACAAATAGAACTCACATGTGGCCCTTTGGTGCCTGCTCGCCAGCATGTTCCTGCTACCATGTTGGAGGATGGCCAATGACATGAATGGACCTGTAATTACCATGGCATATGACCTTTTAAGAGGATAAGGACACTGTGCTGCTAACAAATGAAAGTAAAACTAATCTCAAGTGTGTTAGGTAAGGTAATGTGCCATGAAAAGTGTTGCAGAATAACTTTAGTGTTCCTTGATTTTTTAAGTACCAAGATAATTTCATTTTGGCTATCAGACCCACCTTAACAGATTCTCAGATTATGCTCAATGACCTGTAAAACCTATTAAAGGACCCAAAGGCCCTCGGAAATACCTTTTAGAATGGGGACTTTCTCAAGGGCCACAATAACCTCTTAAAGGACCCTACAACATGCTAGAGGACCACCAATGCCTCAGAAATGACAACTACAAAGTCTTAGGACTATATACTGTTTTATAGGACTAACATATCATTCTCTTTGTCCAGTTGAACCTACTTAAGGACCCGTTGAATATCGCATAACCCATGGAACTACCACTAGAACACATAACATATCATCCTCAATGACCACCTGTTAATAGTTTGCTTTAACTTCTTCACTTATCACTACACACAAAGAAGCCCCTAATCTTCTAAAGAGACAAACTTTAAAGTTTGCTAGAAACTCCACGATTGCCACAAAATGTTCTAAAGAACCATACAATCTCCTCAGTGATCATTTAAACTATTAGTGGACCCCAAGACAATTTTGAACATCTCCATTTGTTTAACCGTGCCAGAAATTAAATTAGAAGCTACCTAAAATGACCTTAAAGGATTCTACAACCCTAGAAGTTTATGATACTTATTTTCTGTTTAACTTCAAATTAAAACTATTTTAATGAGCAGATATACTCACGATCACCCTAATTTAACAATACACATGTGGCATTTGAAACATTTGTGTTTGATAAATGAAAAATGTAAATCTTTGGTTTCTTATCATAGCAGGGAATTATTTTTTCTCAGGACACTAAATTACATGGTACTGTAGTTTCATAGCTTGAATGGCTGATCGTATGCAAGAGAAAAGGAACAGCCTTTAAACAACCTTAGATATTAATAATTGGCTGGACTGGTAGGAAGAAGTTGAAGATTGAGAAGATATTTCTGTTATTTGTCAATGAAGAGAGTTAAGGATAACGTAATTTAAGTTTCAATTTGTAAGATTTGATTCTTTGGTATATTAACTTTGTCTCTATGTTTGCTTTTTGCAGGATGAAGATATAAAGAGAACATGAAGAAAACATTTGATCTGGTTCCAATTCTCACCCTCATGAGAACTCGGAGGTCAATGGGCCATTTGCTCAAATATTGAAGGTCGACAGAAAAGTATAGGGGCATATAGGTGACATCATGTCTGAGGCAGGGAAGGTCCTCCACCTGTACGTCGAAGTAAGGTCTGTTGCTGAGGAGGAAGGCAAGGTGCCAGTAAGAGGAGATGATGGTACTGGCAGACAAACACTTCAGTGCCCGGACATCCTCCCTCACTCCCAGAGATGCTCTCTCTACTCCAGTCAAGATCTTTCTTCAGTCTTTCAGAACCAAGCAAGAGTTGGAAGCAACAGCTTACCCTCCTCAAAGTCCTCCTCCAGACACTCAGTCAGCTTCCAACTCAGAGAACCTGATCCTACAGGGTCTCCAACCCAGGTCCACCGCCAAGATGTATTCTATGACAGGTTTGGTCAAATACTCAAGGTCCTTGCACCTCGAACTGGTCCAGGCCAGCTTGACTCACTGGGACGGACCCATTCCTCTGACACAGATCCCCACCGGAGAAGTGTGAACATCTCTCCCTCTTCTACATACTCTGATAGGCTGACCTTACCCTCGACACCTCTCAGCAACTGCAGATCCTCTGAGATGTCAGGGGTGGAAGTTGAGGAAGGAAAGACATCTGTGGTGACCTTTGGCTACATAGAGAAAGCTAATGTTCACAGCCGCCGTACCTCTGTGTGCCAAAATGAGTTTGACTATCCTCTTAACAGATTAGAGGGTCAGTTACTGCCTCCACACCTCCGGAAGAGGATGAGTGACCCAGTGTGGTACAATGGTCAGCCAAGGCAGGGCGATCCTTACCCCAGTTACCCTTACCCATTCCCTGAAAGCTCCCCCTACATTCAGAGGTCTACCATGGATTCAGTTGCGAGAGATTCCACCTACAGGGCCTTGGAGGAGTTTGGCTCCCCAGAGCTCAGACGGAGGTTTTCTGGTTACAGCACCCAGAATGGCAGTCCGACCCTGTCACGGCACTGCCAGACCCCCCGTTGCCGGTCTTGGGGAGGGTCACCCGTCCTGCCCCGCAGCACCCTCACCCTGCCATCCAAGACCCAGCTCATGGAGATGGACAGGGGAGTCTGCCGTAGTTTAATGAATGGACTACCCAGAAGTCCTGCTTCTGACCAGCTATGTGCCCACACTGGATATTCTTCCACCTCAATGACTCCAACCTCACATTTTTGCTCTCATCGCATGCCTCAAAGCAAGCAGAGGCCATGGGTGGGGGATGAGAGCCCCAGGTTGTCTAGCAAATTTCACCCACCTTTACCTGCGGGGCGACCCACAGACATCCAGCATGAGATCCCACCTAACATGTACCAAAACAGCAACCATTCCAGAGTGGGCTACCAAGTTAGTGGGGACGGTTTTAATAAATGCCACAGTTCTAACATCACCAAAACCAGTCATAATGCTAAAGACAGTGTTCGGTATTGTGTTAATGAGAACTCTAACTTATCCAACAAGACTCACTACAAATCATCACGCTGCAGTAGCAGAGCCAGTGATGCAGTCAGCCCAAGCAGTAACAGGAGAAGCCTCTCACCATCCTCAAATGCTGAAGTGGCTTGTAAGTTAGCTGTTGAGGCAGCCAAACTGTCCTCCATTTTTTCAGACAGGCGAACTCCTTCTCCAACATCTTCTCAAGCTGAGTCAGTGAGGTCAGAGAGTCCTAAGATTGGTGGGTCACTCCTGAGAGAATCTCTACCACATGTCACTCTTCATGGGCAAAGTTCCTCTGAATTTCAACAGGTTGACAACCAGAACCACAGATATAAAACCGACAAAGCAATACCTCAAACCAGACCAGGACGCATCTCACCTCTCTTGTCCCAAAAAGTCATATCTTCACCATCATCTCCTGCCTTGCCTGCAAGATTACACCGCGCAAGCACCTCTCAATCACCAATCTTGGATCCACGGCAGCTAAAGGGTTCATCACCCTCTGGGAACATGACAACCCTGCACCGCTACCAGCTCCCACAGTACAAAGGTGAACGCAAACCTCCTGGAATGGAAGAAAGGCAGTATGATCACCTCTTTTATGGGTCACCTAGGGACAGCCCTGAACTCTCTAGAAGACTTCTGTCCAGCCAAAATGTAGAAGCAATGCCTTTGAGCTGGACCTCCAGACACCAGGGGTGGAGGGAAGCTGGACCAGCCCAGGACGGGGGAGAACACTGTGAAAAAAACTACAGAAATAAAAAGGCTGGAGTTCAACATCCAAGCAAAGAAGAGTATCAAAGGAAGGTCCGAGGAGACGAAGAAATACAATTTTCAGTTCAGGGGTACCAGAGGCCAGTAATGTCTAAGGATCAGAGAGAAGATATTCAGGATCACAGTGGGGTGGCTGGGACATCATCTCAAAGCTCGAGTGGAGTAACAGGCAGCATGGGAGACAGCTCCCAGCTGGACAGAATTGACAGTTTGTCTCCTGAAACCTCAAGCCAGTCAAGCCATGATACAGCAGACACCGGCTCAGGGATACAGGTCTGCTGGGTGGGCGGATAAGGGTTTGGTTGGATAAAATTGTATGTGTGTGTATTAGGAAGCATTCATGTTTGTCACGTATCTCTGAAAATATTTGTATGTGGGCGGTGTGAGGTTGTTTTCCTGCGAAGTTGAACCATGCATCTTCCCATCATGTCCTGACACATTTTTACACTGTCCTCAGCAACAAAAGATATAAAATATATTCAAAGTTCTTCTCCTCCAGTGATATTTAAGTGTTTGTTCCTCTGAATATTTTCTTATGGGTTCTCTAAATAAACATTAAAATTAAGTAATTATCTTCTTTATATAACAGTTAATCTTGTTAGCTTTCCAAAAATGTAACTTTCTTTCTGATTTTAGAGTTGAAACCTCTCTCTTTTGAATAAGATAAGATAATACTTTGCCTCTGAAAGCTCTGACCAATATAACCATTTTATAATTTTCAAACAAATTCGCATTTTTAATAAATGTGATGCTGTTTTGAAGTGTCTTCCTAAATGCAGTAAAAGGCCTAATTGTACAATCTTGTCACCTTGTGTTCCTACTGCTATGGTGCTTGCCAGTCTGATTGGCTGTCGGCATATTGTTTGTACAAATTTTTGGTAGTGAGGTGACAACAGTAAAAGTTGCTTTGTTCGACATTTATTATCTCCTGATCCAACATCAAGCTGTCAGTTTCAGTAAAAATTCTTTGAAACACAATGAGAAGCCGGGAAAGGCTCAACACAGTGGCACAGAAATCTTGCCAACATTAAGTGTGACACAAACAATTGGTCTCAAAGCAATAAAAACAATGGGTTTCAATGGACATGAGTGACAAAAATTTTGAGTGGATGGATATTGCCTACATTTTTTATGAATTTTGAAAATGTATTTAGTTTAGAATATTTTGTTAAGAAATATTTTAGAAACATTTTGTGTCTGTCCTACTTTTGCAGTCGGACAGTGGCTCAGCAACAACTCCATCATCGCGATCGCAAAAGATTGCCCGAGCCAAGTGGGAGTTCCTGTTTGGAGGACCAGCTGAGGAGAGTCGCCGCATTAAAGGTACTGCAGGTGCTGCTGATGACTGTTTTTTAATTTGTTTTTCCTGTAGTTTTTACAATTCTGTTATCATTTCCAACAACATTTAATCAAACAAAATATTGTAATTTTTACACAAGTAGAATTATAACACCAAAGCTTCAAAGTCGCAATTATAAGCATAAAATTAAGTTTTATTCTGACATGTGGTGAAGGTTCAATCAGTTATAGAAAGTAGGATTTCATATACCTTTTTCTTTCCTGATGACACCCACAGCCACATGAAATGTTCCAAATGTGTTGATTTTTATGGACCTTCAACTTGATGGAGTTGATGCCACTTTTTAAAAATGAAAGTATTTGTCTTACAAATCGCTGATTCTGAAATTGTTAATCTATATCTTAGTCTGTTTCTATCTGATTTTTGATTAAGCTAATTATAATGAAAAAATATTTTTGTTTCAACCTTTGATCCATTAATTTAGCTATTTTAACTCTGCATTGTAACTGGACTCTTTTCCCAACATGACTTAAAGTCCCACTCCAGACAATATATTTTAAATAAATATGTTTTTTAAATTTCAAGGTTATCTTTTGGCATTGTCTTAATGGGATACAACGTTGAAGAGCGACAGGAAATATTGGCAGACAAAGACAGTTCACAAATAAAATTACCCAGTTTCACCACAATCAGTGAATTACATTATAAAGTTGTGTTTTACTACACTAATCAATTACACATGGCCTCAACAAAAATACTTTATACTATAAGAAATTAAATAAATGAGCCCCAAAATACACTACAGAAGGGTTGAAACACTGGGATCACATTGGGAATGTGGCAACAGCATCAGTTGTGGAGACTATGATATTTCAGCTTTATCTCTTGTTACCAGAAGATATACGTTCAAACAGTTTAAAGGACTCATATGTCTAACTAATGTTTTGTTTCTCTTCTCAGTCAATTAAATAAGCAGCTTCAAGAACTCCCAGTCTTCGTCTAAGCCAATTAGTGAAAGCTTAACATGAGCCCGAACAGCTTTTTCAGTCTTGTGTCTACTCACCACTGTTACTACACACTACTACGCTCATCTTGTTTTTGGCATTTTTTTCTTCAACAATGGTTCTCTTTAACACAAGTGAACTAAAACAGTTTTAAATATCTGTATAGAGGGTAAATGATGGCTGTGGAAATTTATGGCCTTTATCCAGAATAAAAGTGAGGTACAGCCTGTTTTAATTGACCCTAGCATATCATTGATGTTATCAAGCAAAGGAAAGAAGTTATACCTATAAATTAATGCCACCGTGTAACCCTAGTTTCCCCTGATGTGAGTCACATTCCATCTGGCCATACCGCCTCACCAAATCTGTTTTTTTTTACATTGAAATGTTTCACATTCCATCTTAAAGACATTAAGTAAAATTTCAGCCTGCTTTTGATTTCCCTGCAGGCTGTCCAGCCACAACTCCTTCCACCAGCAGCTCACCCAGCCCCACCCCTCCCTCCTCCCTCCATTTGAAAACAGTAAACCAGAGGAGGGGGCAGGACAGAGAGAGCCTACAGTTGTCCCATCACCAGGTGCAGCAGGTTGAAGTCGACCTGGTGACACCCCAACCCTGTGGCTCCACACCCAAGACGGGAATCATCCGCAAAACCATTAAATACTCTGAAACTGATCTGGACGCTGTGCCACTGCGGTGCTACAGGGAAACCGATCTGGACGAGGTGATGTCAGCAGAACCGATTTGATCTGGTTTGTCTAATCTGAATTATATTTGTATTTTAATTGATCATTTATGTGCAGGTGATGCGGGCGGAAGCTGAGGCAGCTGACGAGGGTGAGGCAGACTCAACCTTTGGGAGTAACTGCAGTGCCAGGGCAAACTCCAGCTTCAGCCCTGCAGAAGTCTCCCCAAAGCCCGGGACTGGTGGTGGAAAGGAAGAGGAGGAGGAGGAGGAGGAGGAGGAGGAAGAGGAAGAAGAGGAGGAGGAAGAGGAAGGGGTGGTGAGCTGGGCCACTGTCCGGATGCTGGGAGACAGACAGAGACAGAGAGCCACCAAGGAGGAGGACGAGGTGTTCAGTCTGCTGCTGAAAGGGTAAGACGTCACACACTCATTTTAAGGACTTCACTTTGTTATGCACACCCATTGTAGCTGAACATGAGTAAGTGTCTTTAATTAGTCTGAAAGTTTAAAGTCTGTTTTATTTACCCATTAGGACGTTGGATGGGTCATCCAACTCCCATGGTGGCCTCAAATCTCCAATCTCCCTCGGTAGCCCCCGGCGCCCCTCTGAGTGCAACCTAGACTCCTTTAGTCGCCATTTTGAAAGCATCATGGAGTCTCATCGAGCCAAAGGCACTTCGTACAGCAGCCTTGACAGTGTGGACCTTCTGACATCTGGATCCACATCTGTTTTTACCTTCGACCTGCCCACCCTCACCCCAGAGATTCAGGTATGTCTGACTAGTAGAGTCACATCACTGCTTCCTGACTGCAGGGGATAAAACTGTTGTTTTTCTGTCCCTTCAAAGAGTCAGATCTGTGATAGTGCCAAGCAGATCATCGAGCTGAGTTTCGCCCCACTGGCCCATCCAGAACTGTATGGCCCCTCAGAAAGGTCCCGCTCCTCGTTCACTCTAAGTGCCTCAGGCCCGGGGCTCCGGGGTGGCTCCAAAGACGACTCCGGACCTCCAGTTCGATCCAAGTCTGAGAAAGAGACGTGGCGTCGCTCCATCCTCAAAGAGGGCTTCCGCAAAGCAAGCTCGGTCCCCTCACTCAATAGCAACCTCAGGTTAGTCTGATCTTATGGTACAGATCCAGACCATGGTTCTGGTTCCTGTTGTCCTGTTTGTGTCCTTCATCATTATGTGGAGGGGTTCTTATGTGTGTGTCCATTGAAGCAGCAAAGTCGTGATGGAAATTTTTTGCTTCTCTAAGCACTTTTTCGACATTCTCGTCTGAAAATTGCTGTTCAGAGCTGCCAGCCCAAGAGTCCCCAGAGTCTCAAGGTTCATAGTTGTTTGTGTGGTTATGTTGTGGTTATTTTTTGCCAACACATTTGTGTGATGATATGCATAACAGATGCTCATTGAACAGATTATGAAATAGTAAAGTCTTTATGTCATATCCTAGATACACTTTATTACAAACTGGTTCATAATATTCCACTGACCCACAGGTGGCAGTAATACACCAAGAATTCACAGTAGAACACCAGCAAAAGCAGTTAATAAAAAGTCTGCTAGCATTGAACTTGGATGTCAAAATACCTTAAAAAAAATATATATATATTTTTTTTTTTTCTCTTTTTCATTTATAAAGATTGGTGGGGGGCTGGAACTGGTTTGATGGAGGTGGGAAGGGCTTTGTTTTTTGTTGTTTAGTTTAGTTTTGTCCTGGGTTTATTGAGAGGTGCCGTGTATCTCTTGTGTTTTTGTTTGTCTGTTGGATGTTACTATAATAAAAAAAATAGAAAAAAAGATAAAACAAGAAATATGTGAGTGACACTGAAGTGACACTTTTAGCTTGTTAGAAAGCCCCATAGGGCAACTTTGACAAAAAAATAACATTTCAAATGAACTATTTTCATATTGTGCAACTCAGTATAACCATATTCTTATTATATAAAAACTTTTTATAAATAAGGGACAGCCAGTTGAAGTTTACATTTCCTTATACAATTTCATTTAACAACATAAATCTGTCACTTAAATCTCATTATGACCTCCTGAGTTGTACCATGTAAAAAAAGTGAATTAACCATTGATAACTTTTATTCTAGTTCAAATTATCCTCAGTAGTTCAGCAAACCTTTGTTAAAATAACACAAGACTGTTAAGTGTAATAATTCGGTTTATTATCCTTCCATACATTAGTTTTTGTTTCATAAAAAAAAAATGACAATCAGATGGCAGGTTGGGGTACTGTTGTGTTTAGTCTCTGGAGCTTTTTACTCCAAGGGTGACATTAGAGACATTTCCATTTTAATCCATAGATAAGGAGATGTATCCCTTCACCAAAGTTTTAAAACTTAGCTTCAGGGGTGTTTTTTTTCTGCTGCTGCTGTTGTCCTCATCGTCATCATCAAATCAGGACAATGTAGTCCATATATAAAACTGTCTGAATACAGTTCCCAATTGTCAAGAAGCAGATAGAAAAGTCAGCTCTGCACAACACCTCAGTTCTCTTATTAGTTACATTTAAAATCTGACATGACTTTTTAGATGAATACTAAAAGAGCATAGTATCAGGACTGCAGTATCACTCACCAGGCACAAGGTGGCTCCAGAGAGACATGATGTACTGACCATTTATGTTTACTTAGTTCTATGCGTGTCTATCTTTGTATTGAATTTTGTGGAAGTGAGGATGCTTTGGCTGGTTCTCACTACTTCAAGGTGTGTTTGAGGGCTTGAAGAGTAAGTATATTTATAAGAGAGAGAGAACATTTCATCTGGTCTTCGTTAATTTAAGGAAGGTTAAGATTTGGGTATAACATTTAAAGTGCTGCAATAGACATAGGCAGTGCATATGTTGGCAGTTATTCTATTTTCACTGTGTGTCGTCAGAACGTTTAGCATTGCATTTCATTTAACATAATAACACTTTCTTGGAAAAGCATTTCACTTAAGGAACCCCCCCAAAAAAACCTTTAGCTTTCTGAAAGAAGAATGAATGCTTGCTTTTTGTCTTTACTGATAGGGCAGCTGAAGAGAGACATGAATAAATAGTGAGGGGGGCTTGCATCAAGGCAGGGAGTCGAACCTTAGGCTGATGTGCCAAGGCCTATAGCCTCTGTATTTTGGTCATCTGCTCTAATGACTGAGCTAAACCAACGCCCCATAAGGAGGGCCGAAAGGGTTGTGCTGTTTTTGAAGCAAGTCAATTCACAAGTATCTGAGTACAATACAGTTTGTTTGTGGTGTTTCGGGATTAAACTCAACTGAACGCCAGGCTGTTAGACAACATGTGAGTTTAATTATAGAGTGTCCGATATGTAGCTTGGACACACACACACACACACACACACACACACACACACACACACACACACACACACACACACACACACACACACACACACACACGGCTTGTGTTGTCTGGATAGCAATGGAAGCTAAGGCCGTAGTGGCGGATGATCAAAAGGAAAGCATGTAAATCGTGAAGAGAAGGGAAGATGAGGAGATCGTTTGTGATTTTAACATTGCTGAGATTATGATTTGTGCAAGCGATAAGTGCACATAACATCAGAATTTTGACAAAATATAAGCAGAGAGATCAAACGGTAGACCAGATATACGGGAGTTGTATCACGAAATTCACTTTTTTGATCACACTTTATTGCTTGTAATATTTATGCCAAAAACAGTAATTTCGGGCACTGCTGATGTTATTCACTGGGTATTAAGAAGACAATTTACTCCTCACTCTCATCTTCATTCGTCCAGTCTGTAATGTTGTTGTCATACCTGATCCTTCCTGTTGGGGTGAAAATCTAACCTGGTGCCCAGCCAGCATGCAGTAACTACGGCAACCCCAGATTAACTTCCTAGAGCGTGAGATTTCAGGGTTTAAATTTAGACAAAAGACAGAGAAGTTGTGTTGTTGCAGGAAGGGAGGCTTTAGGTCACATGACCAGCTGCAGATTTTCCTCACAGAACCATCCCAGAGAGGTTCTTCAGGCCACAGCAGAACCTTTTATGGCATTGTAAGCAGTTTCCAAAAGAGACTGATTTTTCATGTGCACTCCTTAAAGATGGACAGTTTCTGTTTTCTTTTTTGTGCCAGATTCAATTGTGAACTTGACTTGCTAACTTGCTGCGAATCAGCTTCACATATGCTTTGCGCTTTGCTGTGTTGTGTTCTTTTTTTTTTAAAGTAAGGTGACTATGCTTCCTAGCAGCTAGCTAGCATACTTATTAAGTTTGTATGTAAACAAACAGTAACTCGTGATGCAGTCACTTAGACATGCCCTAATATAAAGCTGGAAACTATACCCTACAAAAATGTAGCCGTTGTTTTCAACAATAAAGGGTCATCACTTCTAATTTGTAAGCTATTTATGCTTCCAAACCCTTGAGCCTTTTTTTGGCTTCCTGCTTCATTTTATATTATGATGTTGTAATGAAGAGTGTTACAGAATCAGACAGATAACACTGCTATCTAGACAGTGGTATGGAGTTTAAAAACAGCACAACATTGAACCTAGGTCCCAGGCTCAGGAGGACATGTTTCATTTCATCATGTTTCTTTGGTTTTCTTAATCTGTTCCGTGATGTCTGTTGATAAGTTCTGGCTCCACATCCTTTCCATATTGACTTGCAGCTCTTCATGGCTTCTTTTAATTTAACCAAACCGTACCACCACATGGCAGGAGTCTCAGCCTGCTAAAAAAAATCAGGACACCGAGCAGTTCTGCTTAACGTCTCGTTGAACTGACAACTGACTGTGTGCCTGAAGTCTTTGTGTAATGAACGGTTTGGTTATGCTAAACTCTGCTGCTCTGCTATTATGGACATTGTAAAGTCTGTATTTAACATTGATTATTCAGTCTGTTTCTTTAAATCGGATCACCACAGGAAACGTTTGTGTAGAGAAAGAGTGTCTTTATTGTTTTATTTTAGACATTCAGAGGATTCATTTCAAGGGCTTCCGAGCAGCATGTCAGTGGAAGATGGTGTAGATATGTGTCAGGGAATCAGTTCTGTCAAGAGGACAGAGTGAGTGTTTGGAAGTCATTCCATTGGACATCTTCGTCTGTAAAACCAAATCAGGATTTTGTTATTTTCAGAACTTCTTAAGACATAGAGCTGACTCCAACTTGGTGAGTTAGCCTCTAAAACATACCAGGATCAGCTTTTTCCAAGGCTTTTCAAAGATCTTGTTTTAGCTTATCAGTCTGGTTGAAGCTAATAGTTAGCTTTAGTGAAGTGTTAGCTGTAGCCAGTCTCGTGCATAATTTACAACAGGACCTTTTCCCAGTGTTTTTTAGCTGACGCTATATCAAGTTTTTCAGCGACAGAGACACTTTTAATGAGTGTTTTAAGCAGAAACTCTCCCAGCTTATAAACACATTCAGATATTCAAGGAATGAAATGAAATCTGCCACTGGGAGGTTTCTGTGTTTCAGTCTGGAGGAGTTCCCTTTTTTTCCTTTGGCCTCCGTCCACTCCCTGAGCAGGGTGTGGACACCAAGAATTCAAATTCAAACACAAACTTTATTGTTTCAAGTTGAAAACAACTGCAAGGAAAGTTTCCTGAAAGAAAAGCCGTGAATTCAAGCTTCAGAAAGACAGGATCAGAACAATCAATAGCAGCAGCTTCTTCTTCTGCACATTGTACTGAGCCTCCTCCTAATACACACACACACACACACACACACACACACACACACACACACACACACACACACACACACACACACACACACACACACACACACACACACACACACACACACTTTTATCAGCCTATAGAGGGAAATTCCAGATGGATTCATTCAGTAGGGTTTCTGAGAGGAGATTGAGGGAAAAGGCTACCCACTCATGTCAGAAAAACTCAAGACACTCCCTGAAAGCAAGCTCAAATCCTTTCAGTAAACTTCCCTTTTCTCCTTCTCCTCCCCTCCCTCCTTCTCCTTTTCTCTGTGTGGATCTTTTCCATCTGCTGTCTGGGCTCTGACCTCTGAACTCTGACCTGCTCACTCCCAGCTGGGGGTGATGCTGCTGCTAGTTGAATTAAAATGGGAAGATGTTTTGTAGCATCTTAATACTTCTCATACCACTACCACTA